GACATGGACCCTTGAACCCTAAACCCAATAGAACCCTTAAAGGCACCCTTATGCTTATGGTACTTATGAAGGGAAACACTACTGTGGCTTGTGTCAACAATCCCCGCTTGCAGCCCAGGGCGAGGAGGGGCCGAAAGCCTGTACGTTGCGATCCTACACCACTACCCATCGTAGGCAGACGCCTTTATGTGGTTTTACTGAGCCCCCAATTCGCTAGGGATCTAAGGACTCATATATTAAGACTTAGGGTTCAGGGTTTAGGATTTAGGGTTTAGTTTAGGGTATGGTCCTAGGGCTCTAAGGACTCATATATTAAGGCTTTTGGGCCCAAAGACCATACTATGTAAGGCTTTTGGGCGATTTGATCCCTAGGCTATGTGGTTGTACGGATATTTGAGCTTTGATTTATTCATTCTTGAACTGAGCTTTGATTTAATCATTCTTGAACGAAGCTGTGCGAAAGCGAGCCCTCTGGGGTACAGCCGGTATAGCAGCCGAAGCTTCATGATCAAGTCTCGCCTTTTGGCCCAGCCCATCCCACGCGTTGCCCAGATCGGTCCTGTTCCAAACTATACTTGACTGGACCTTCTGGGAGTTTGTCGGGCCAGTGCTGTACCCATGAGGCGGCTTCTTCGAAGCCGAAAAAAGGGGCCCTAGAGAACTACCCGTCTATGTACCGAGCTTTCTGCAGGCGTTTTTGCGGAGCCAGGTTCCCGTTCTGTTTTTTGTTGCTAGGTTGAGCGTTGGCTTTTGAGGTCTAGGGGCCTTCAGGCTTGAGGGCCCCGGGCTTTAAGGGTCTACGGCACCCAGAGGAGTTGACTTGGGCTTTAGGCTTCTAGGGTTCGCTTGAGATTCCACATTAGCCGATCCTCACGCCCCATGCAATACGGTTGATGATATACATCCTGCATTACCCATAATAGGGAATGTACCATAATTCTCATAGTTTAGTTAGGGTCCTTAAGGTCACGCAGGATTTTTATGATCAACCGGAGAACTCCAACCCTAAGGCACCATGTACCCATAGATTGTATACCTAGGCCTTAAAGTACCTATGTAGGGACCCCTCTAAGGCTTAAGTATCTACTATAAAGGTACATGGAGCCCTAAACCCTAAACCCTAAACCGGGGAACTCCAAGCATGGTAGGCTTCTGCAGGGTACGTTGTTTTCAAGCCTTTCAGGGTGACGCCCTAAGCAAGACCTGCCCTAAACCCTGAGCTGATTTTGAGACAGCTGCTTGATGGGACAGCTTCTGGGCAAGTGAGTGCCGCGTTAGCAGGCCAGACTCCATTTGCCCCGTCTTGGCGCGCGCAGTGGGTTTAGGGCTCATCGCGGTCTGAGGCTCTGAGCCTGGAGGTTTGTTGATCAGGTTTCCTCTGCGGTACCCGCGCACGCTCGGGTATTGCGCCTGTTACTAGTTACTAGGACAGAGTATATCAAGCGAAACATCCTCGAACTGAAGTGGCTCGACAGCTTCGTTAAACCACGGCATAGGGGGGCTAGAATCGCAGGAAGGACAAAGGTACTGCCTCATGTGACAAAGCAGTCCTGGCCCACTGCCGCTGCAGCAAGTGCCTCCTTCCCGGTACAGTCGGGAGGTGCTCGCGAACTCTTGCTAAATCCATCTTACGCCCATATGCGATCTCTCTGTCGCAAAAGGCTCAGGTAACAAGGGCCTCAGTACAACCAATTATCAGCACTATGTGTAGCATCATTGTCAAACCTGACTTTCTCGACTTAACATACCTATACGAATCTTCACACGTATATCATCGAATGTCCGTACATACATACATACATACATACATACATACATACATACATACATATATGTATGTATGTATGTATGTATGTATGTAGACATGCGTATATATATATATATATGTATATGTATGCATGTATACATATATATATATATATAAGTACATACATACATGTGGTTGTTTACATGTTGAAACAGAGATATATGTATGTGTATATATATATGTATATATGTACATGTGTATATAACTATAGGTAACAGTTGATAGATCAACAAATTGATAGGTAGATATATTTTTTTTATAGCCTCGGGGTGAGGGTTAATACGTATTACAGGGTTTAGGGTGCATCCCAAATTTTATGGGCCCCTGTATCCGTCCTGTCGGGCAGAACCTTTACCCAATCAGCCACATACAGCAGTAACAGTACTAGTAGTTGCGGTGATATCGGGCACTCTCGCGAGGGGCGCGCTAGAAGCCTGAAGACTTTCGAAGACGATTCCTCAGGGCTCCTGTGGGTAGGGTGGTTTTAGCCGGGGACAGTGTTCTACCCAAAACCCTAAACCCCAAACCCTAAACCCTAAACCCCTAAATCCAAGACCCAAAACCCTAGACCCTCTGTGTTTCTGCTCCTTATCTGGCTTTGGAATGCCCGCAGCAATTTGATTGATCTGCCTCGAGCAGCAGTTGAAGACACTCTTTGCCAAGTTCTCACTATCACAAGCCGAGCCTATCGCCATGGTGCCTCGGCTTAGGGCTTTAGGGGTTTAGGGTTTAGAGCTATAGGGTTTTAGGGTTTAGAGTTTAAGGTTATGGGGGACTTACCTTTGGTTAGTAGGGACTGGAAGAACGGTAGTTATAGTAGATATAATTGTACCCCACTCCTCCATTTCCTACTAACCAAAGGTAAGTCGGAGAACTTCAGAAACATGCCCCCCTCCCCCCCCAACTACCTCTAGTAGACCCCAAATACCCACAAGTAAGGGTCATAAGGTCTTTGTTAAAGGATGTTGGTTTATGTGCCAGGCCACTTCTTTCCGTTCCATTCCCATGTCGTCCTTTATGCATCTTTCTAGCCAGTTATGAACTTGATCCCATAATTAACCTTCACACCCTGAGACCCTAAACCCTCTATCCCGGAATTTCCTTGAATCGCTAAACCCAGAAATCGCGAGGGCTTTGCAAGGCTCTCGAACCGACACATGAACACGATGGGGAAACGCAAGTTGCCAAATGAAGACAGATAGGGTAGTAGATACATAGCTAGACAGCCCAAGGCGAACGAGGACAACACACACATGACAAAAGCTGGTTGTCAAGCCAAAACCTAGAACTTTAAGCAAGAGTCCAGAAGAGGTGGTGCTGTGGAGGTTTAGGGGTTAGGGCTTTAGGGGTTGGGGTTTAGGGTTTAGGCTTGACGGCAAATCCGTCCCTAAGGCCCTAAAGCTCTCAATCCCTAAAACCCTGAATCCCTAAACCTTGAAATCATGAACATCCCGGGCTTTTGTACCCGCAAGCCAAGGTGGCTCGCAGTTTCCTCTTGAGCCTTCTCCTGGCAGTGACTGTCGCCGACTTGCTGCAAGCCCTGAACCCGAAGTCCAGCTTCGGATAGCTTGGAGAAACTAGGGACCTGAATAAGCGAATAAGGAATCCTAAACCAAAGAAACTTTATTAGAAGGACCAGCCAATGAGCTACCCTAGAATCTATAGAGGTCTGGTCAACTAGTAGTAACATCACCTTTTGGTCTTTATATAGTGTATGCTTGTACTTATACTGTAACATTTCGCCAAATCATCCTGCTAGCGAAAAGGTATCGGTTGGGGCAGAAAGTTCAAGCATCAAGACTCGGTGTGTTGGCCACAAGTACTTGAGCACTTTGCAAGAGAGGCTCTCCAAGATGTGCCTTCTCGCGCGGCCTTTAATTGAGCACTCCTAAACCCGAAATCCTGATATCATAGCATCCTTATAGTAGCCTTAGTCCTGAAAGTAACCCTAAACCCCGAACCCTACAAGGAACCCTAAAACCTATGAGCAGCTGTTGTTGCAATTAGTAGGCCGCTTTGGCAGGGCTTCATTATGAGAGGATTCCGGGCCAGCAATGCTAAACTCGAGCAGAACACCCCATCCTGCATAATATACGGACCCTAAACCCTAAACCGTAAACCCTAAACCCTAAACCCTAAACCGTATAGGGGCCTTAACAACTAGAATCGGGTTCTGGGGGCCCTTTACTCTAGTTACAATAACGGTTGTCAAGATTTACTGTCCCTTTTTGGGGTCCTTATTATAATACGGCGCCTAATATTTAGGGTACCCAAAAAGGGACCCTAATTTTCACAACCACCCATATAGAAGCCGAAACAATTACCAATATGACTCATTAAGGCTCCTTATTATAAGTACACTATCAAGGAGCCCAAAACCCTATTGTATTAAGGCCCCTAAATCCTAGCCTAAACCCTTACCGTACCTATTGTAGTATCTCCTAAATGAGCCCTTAAAAGGAACCATATTCTATCAAGGCCCCTACTACAGGCTTTGCCTGACTCAGGTGCAGGGCACGCGCACGTCTTCGGATGCGGCCACGCAGAATCTGGAGGCGAGGTTATTGGGGTTTAGGGTTTTAAGGGTTTAGGGTTTCACTGAAATAGGGCGGCCAATTCACCGAATCAACATGTTCTGTTCTCCGGAATGGGTTCGCTGAATGTGCTGTCGTCCGAGTTTAGAGTTTAGGCTTTAGGCGTACAGTACAGCCCTCCTTCATGGGCCAATATGCGGATCCCCATCACTATTAGGAACAAGTGTTCGTAATTGATTGCTCGGATCCCCATAACTATGAGGGAGGGGGGTTTGAGCAATCAGAATGTGAATGCAAACTGTGTAGGGCTTTGGACACTTTTCTTTGCGTAGGAAAGTATGCAGATAGCTTCGCGAGATGGGTCTCGAGCCCGAGCAATGTGCGTTTTCATGGATGTAAGTCAAAGGCTGGGGCATGTCCGCATAAACTGTCCGAGCCAAAATGGCACAATCACTGCTTGTTTGAATGCTGATGCTGTGTTTTCCTTTTGGTTCCGTAGTCCGAAAGCCTATTTTAGCTGTAAGGCCCGCATATCACTTCATCCTGAGTGCAAGGTTTTTCGAAGCCATTCCTGTCCAGCACCCTATATGAGATACCTTGGCCGTCCCCTGATAGGCTTGTAGGACCTTCACTTGTGGGGTTCTATGTTGTCTATATAATGGCCCTAAGCGCCCGAACCCTAAACCTTAAACCAAAATAGTTGAAGGCGTTTCTCGTTTCCCAGGGTGCAGGAGTCAGCCCAGCTACATACAGTCATGTGAAGGACTCTCATAAGGCCCAAGGCTCACAGATTTGCTTGGCGGATTCTCGGGTTCCTGTGATCAAGGTTTCCTGTAAGCTGCAAGGGTCCTAAAAAGGGTAGGCTGAGGGTAGTACAGGGGTTTAGGGTTCAGAGTGCACGGCACACTCGTACTCTGCCTGCACCCTCAGATGGTGAGTAGCGCCCCAAATTACTCTTCACTTATACAGCCGCCCTAAACCCTAAACCCCCAGGACCTGTATGATCTATGCGCCAGCGCATGAAGACGCAGACCCAAGCAATCGTTGCCTTCACAGGCCCTCGAAGAGTACAAAAACTCGCTCAAGGACTCTGCCAGCGTTTGAGTCTGGAACGCGGCTTTGGATTTTAAGTTGTAGGGTTAGTTTAGGGTTTTTAGGATTTAGGGCTATAGGGTTTGCCGTCCCTATAAGCCCTACAGCATTTGTGCTTAGCCTTTAGCCCTAAACCCTAAACCGTTCAGGGATAGTTCGGAGTGAACATAGAAGCTTAAAGTACCTACTAACATTATTTTATTTCGGGCTCCTTCATAAAATTATGACCTTTCTATAAAGGAGCCCAGCACCCTACTAAATAATCCTAACAAAACATTGTTTGTTAGCCATTCTACGGATCAAGTTGCCATCCATCCCATACCTGTATCCCGGTCGGTACACATGGATCCCGAGAGCTTCTCTCTCAGAACGCCATCGAGGCTACTGCCGATCTATGGCTACGCTCTCTTCAACGGCATGTCAAGCTGGTCCTGTGCCCGCAGGTCCTGTCTGTCCGATTACGCTTCCTTTGCCGCTACTTTCAAGCATTTCATCGAGATCATTCACGATTTCGATGGACCTATCCGTCATGAGCAGTTGGGACCTATCCTTCGTGATCAAGCTTTGTGTCAGCTTTCCGCCCCACTTGGACAACAAAAGCTTCCCGCAGTCAAGTATATCATGCAGATCTTCATTCGTGCCCAGGCAAGTGCAATCGTCAAACACATCTTCAGACCTGATGACAAGGTGAAAGCATCTCTCCTGCATGGTTGCGGTTACGGTACACTCTATGAAGCTGTACGGGGATCGAAGCGCAACAATGCAAAGAAGGCCTTGCAGTTCATATTACAGCAGATGGGGGCACGCAGTGTATACTTTTCATGCTTGTATACACCTGATCAAAAGAGAAAAGCAAAGTTTCCGCAAGAGAAGTTTGGTGAGGAGCTTGAAATGCTTTGCAGTACATTTGTGATATGGGGAAAGCGACAAAGGCAGTTTGAAGCAGCTTCAGCGCATCGATGGTTTGATTCAACGATGTCGATAGGTTTGGTCATCTCCGGCTTCGACGAGGAAATCCAGCAGACCTTTGTCAAAGATTGCTCGCTAGTTACGCAAACGCAAGTTTCGGGATACTTGGGGAGCCAGGCAAAATCAAAGCGCCACTCACAGATGGGCCGAGTCTTGGCTATGATGGTCAGCCGTTTCCACGGTGGGGTGGGCAGCTATCGGATTGGGAGTGATTTCCATTACTTTTGCGGGGCTCCACTATGGTGCCAGCCACATATAGATGATGGTGAGATTGGAGTTGAGCCCGTCAGGAAGAAGAAGCTTTTTCTGACGTCGCAGCCACGCGAACTTTGACATGGGAGCGGCGGCGCCGGACTGCAGCCCACATTCAAGAAGAACCAGCTTCGTGTGGTGATAGACAATGCTTATGAAGAAGTTCACGGGCCGGAAATCCAGCCAGGCATCAACCCCGGCACCTTGAGCCGGATGCCCAGTGGATCGAAAACTTGTTGTATTCATTTCAGCAGCACGTCTCTGTAGTTTTGATCCTCTTACACATTATAATTCACATGTAACCACTCATACTGTCTTGCGCAGCACATGTGGTTTCACAGCTCTGACACGCACGCCTTCTCAGAACCATGCCGGCGATCGGGCCTATGCTCATGGAGAAGATCCTTCCGCTGGACGTCACTTACGTCCTCAGCGATTTTCTGCAAGGATTCTATGGGTACTTTTACTAAGCATTGTATTCTATTCTGTATGATCCCATGCCGGGAAATGCCACCCCACAGCCTGGTCCAGCATCAACAGCTCCCCTGCACTTCGAGCACAAAGTGGCTGAGATGCACGACGGTCCGATCTCGATTTGCCTAGTAGTTTTCACTTAGATAGATCATCTTTCGTGTACATTCGCGTCTGCAGAAAGTCAGAAGGTGCCGAAATTGATCGCAGGAACTTGACCTTCAAGCTTTGTCGGCGCTACGTGGCTCCGCTGAGTGAGGCCGGTATGCCTTTCCTGTCACACTGAAGGTGTCTTCCGAAGTTGAAGACATCTGTCTAAAATTGGAGACGACGCCAGCTGCGAACAGACAAAAGAATTGTTGGCTTTTCTGCAGATTTCAGAACGCAACTGCTTTATGGATTGGAAACAACTTGAATATGCTGTCTTGCTCATGATGCTTTTGCATTTGTGAGGATGTGCACCATTCAGCCGCATACTACACGCCATGTACACATCCTAAGCAAGAAGAACTTGGTTTATTGCATATCATCCCATGTAGCAGTTACATTCATTTACAGTGAGTGCCAGGGCCATGTCCCCCTCAAATTGTTCTGGGGTCTGTGAGACCTGGCCAAATCTCTGTCGAAATAAGATTCTTTGAGTTATGTTTGTGCCTGTCAGGGAATCGAATAGGAGGTGCATCAGAATCCTTCGGTGATGTCGCCGTATGTCGGCATCGTGGCAGATCGCTAACTAATTTGATTATGATTATGATTCAACTCATGAGATCTGCGGGCTTTTGGGGGTGGGGCAATTAGCATATATAGCTCTATGTGGAATAACATATATATGTATGTATGTATATACACATAACAAGGGGTGTACATATATATATATATATATATAGATAGATAGATACACATATATGTTGCCTCACGGTGCAATAGAAACAGCGCACATTCCCAACACCCAAGTCCTAAGCTTCCGCGAACAACTCTTGAGAAGATAGGGCTCGTCCAACCCCGGCACAGCCAACGCTAAGGTTAGCTGAACGTCACCGTTCAGGGTTCCGAACTCTTGCGAGGACATGTCTCGTCTAACCCCGGTGCAGACAGCGCCAAGTTTAGCTGAAAATCGCAGTTCGAGGTTCAGGGCATGGGTTTTAGGCTCAGGATTGAGGGTTTAGGCCGTAACTTATGTTTCAAGATTTACGATTGAGACCCCTATCACAGCGCTCAACTTCTCAACCGGTAAATTTAGGCGCTATAGCCCAACTCTGAACCTTAAACTCAATGCCATTTTTCGTTTCGTCAGGCCCCGAAGATTTTATAGAACCACCAGTGCACTTGAACCCCAAACCCTAAACCCTAAGCCCTAAACCCCGAAAGTGTGGAAGCATGCCGGGATCCCGCGTTCCCAGGAGCAGAATGGCCAAGATGCAAAGGTCGCAGCAGCCATGGACGACATTCATTCGCATGCCGTGAAGTTGATGAAGGAGGCATCAACCTTGCGCCAATTAACCCCAAATCCAGTTTGGTATGCCTTGTCGTGCGCAGTCTTTCCAACGAAGTTGCTTTGCATTGGATGCTGGCTGGTTTTATACCATCAGCACGATTGTAACACTGTAACGGTTATTTCTATCTTGACTTTTTCAGTGGTTCTACTGGGCAAATGCCTAGTAGGAGTAGTACTAGCAGTAGTACTAGTAGTAGTAGTAGTAGTAGTAGTACTAGTAGTAGCAGCAATAGTTGTCGCCGTAATTGTAGTGATGCTGTTGCCGTTGTAGTGGTAGTGAGTGGCAGTGGCTTACTTCCTGAATCCGTAAAGCCTACGCCTCGATCTGTAAGGCCGTCGAAAACGTGACTACATCCTAAAACCCAGAACCATTAAACCAATCCCGTGAAACTTTCGGACTTAGATAGCTTCGGAACTTTAGCATCCGCGCAAGATATTCCGTTGGGTTCAAACGGGGTCCTATTTCAATAGCTTTCCAGGCCCCCAACAGTGCAAGCATGACAGTATATACATGTATATATATATATATATATACATATGTGTACTTACTTTCATACATATACACATATGGTTATCACCGAATCACCGTGTTCACCATTATCATCAGCAGCAGCATCAACTTGAGACTTGAGATTCATCATTGGTATTGCTTTGGGTAGACATTCATATGACTTCGGCGAGCATCCGCGAATCCTTGCATCTGCTACCATGACAGGTAGAAGATGCTGCCAAGAGTGGTGGCCGCTTGGCGGTCATGGATAGACCTCTGCGGCTTGTGGAGTAAACGGGGTTGGATGTTGTGGCTGTTGTGGTTTAAGTCCGAAATCCTAAAACCCCAAACCCAAACCCTGTTGCATGTTCAGGGTTCCGAGTCAAGGCTAAGGGTGAGAGAATGCGGAGGGTCTGGTTTGGTATGCATATGCCTTCTAGGTTGGTGTATATACTCCCGCACGAAACCGAGTTCTGCATGTAGGGACCCTAAACCCAAAACCCTGAATCCCAAACCCTAAAAACCTTCAACCCCGAACCAGTCCCTTCGCAAAATTGGGATAGGGCATGGGGTGTGCTATACGACACGAATATTCGGGGAACCCTAAGGAACAGTATTGCCGACTAGCCATTCCTGTTTCTTTGCAGGAGCATGAACATCCCGGGTTTACCCTCTCACGAAAAGCAAGCGCGGCCTATGCTGTAGGGGCTCCAAAACCTTGCTCTAATCATTAAGGCCCCTAAACTACATCCATCCACAATAAAAACTTTTGCTGTGGTGTCCCGAGGCCCGTTTGGAACAGGTCCCCACTACAGCCTTCCACGACCACATCAAGTTAAACCCTAAACTAAGCCTACTAAACCCTGAACCAAAACCCGAAACCCCCAAACCTTAAACCCTCCACCTCCAGGGTTTAGGGCTTCAGGGCAAAGGGTTCATGAGTGGTTTAAGCGTCGCTTTATGACCCTGGCCCCAAATCCCAAACCCGTGGTCCTCGACTTTTCCAAGGCGAGTGGACGACATGCGGCTTCAACATTTGCTCTGGTGCTGAGCCAGTGTGCTGCACACATTATAGTGGCAAGAAGTACTGCGCTGTCAGAGGCCAGAGGGACTGCTGAGCTTCCCTGCTTTGCAGTCCCACGCTGTCCAAATACTTAGGCAGACGGCCGTAGCAACTGAGAGCGTGTAAACTTCAGCTTTTAGGAGCCGTACATCATGAGTGCTATACGTTTGGGTGTTTGGACGCTTCCGGCGAGCGCACTGCCAAGAGAGAAAAGTCAAGGATGCTTTTCAGCATGATTTCGCGAACTGTCGTATCTGCGAAGGCTACTTCAGCGGGGATGCTGTGCATTCTAGGTGGACGAGCCTTACACTTGTTCTGGTGAAAAGAACATGCTACATCAGGGCCCAGAGTTTGGTAACATAGGGGCCTAACACGCCCTTGTTTTTTGAAGGGGCGGGGTGCAAGGATAGATTATAGTATTACTCTGTTGAGGAACCCAAAAGGACGTTAGTTGCAGTCATTCGGTCCACCTTTTTAGGGTTCAGGGCCATTCGAGGGTAGGAAGCTCTTGGTTTGGCAGGGGCATGCAGCTATTTCGTGGCAGTGCAGCTACTGGTGTTTACTGTAAAGCAGTTTACTTTACGGATTGTTCTTGTTATTGTTCTTACTGCTACGGTTTATACTGCTATTGTTACTGGTCTTGCTATTACTACTATAGTGACCATGAGTACGACGGTTACTACTTTTACTCTTATTGCGATTGGCTACAGGCGATGTCTACTATTTCTACTGTTTCGGTTACTCTTGAATCATCAGAATTGTTACTGTTCCTCCTATTGTTAGCATTTACCACTATTTCTCGTATTTCTCTCTCATTACCACCACTGGTGCTATCTCTATTGTTACTACTGTTGCTATGAGTACACCGTACATCTTTGTACGATTGACGCCATGATTTCTGTTGTAAGGTTGATAGATTGATACTATCAATGCCATCCTTACAATTATCACTGTTGGTACTGCGAGTGCTATTGTTGTTATTGTTACTGGTATTTCTGGATGTTACTATTCCTACACTGGTTTACAACTATTGTCATGAGACAGCAGCAGACGCAAGCCCAGATCAACACCCTTCAATATTGCTCCGTGTGTTACTATTCGTACTAGCGCTACTCGCACAACTCGCACAAATATTTACTCTTCTGGCTTTGCTACTATTCTTACTGTTACTATTTTAGCACTGCTACAAGATATTAAGGTTACTGCCGTTGCAACGGGTGTTGCAGGGTTTCTTGGTCCTAACGGTTGATGATATAAATCCTGCATTACCCATAGTAAGGAATATACCATAAATCCCATAGTCTAGGGCATTAAGGTAATGCAGGATTTACATCATCAACCGTAACTATACGTATTGCAACAACATCCTGCAGCCGTCTTCAGGCCTGTGCTTACGAGGGCCAGAGACTCGATTAGGGTTTAGGGTTTGGGGGTTTAGGGCTTAGGGCTTAGGGTTTAGGGACCCTGCATCTTCAACCCTGTAAGCCTTAATCCTAAACCTACCCTAACCCTGAATAACCTACCCTTTTAGGGTTCCTGAATATGGTTTGCTTGTATAAGTCCTTAGAAACCTAAATCCTAAAACCGAGAACCGCAACCCAAGGCCACCCAATATGGTAGCGAGAAAACCGGGGTCCATCAATCCCTTGGAGGCCTCAAGCTTCAGCCCAAAGCGACTCGAGGCGTAAGGTTTAGGGTTTATCGCCTATAGGGTTTATTAGGGTTTGCAGATGAACCCTTACACCCCACAGCCCCGAAAGCCTGTCCGTTTTAGGTCTTAAGCCTTACAATCTAGTGCCTCAAGCTTTGTGCTACTGACAGTGAGAGCATCTGAACCCGAAACTGGCCCAAACCCTTCTAGAACCCTTGCAGAACCTTTCTAGAAGTCTCATAGAACTATTATCAGTCGCTTAGAGAAGTTCGCTGGAACCACAAAAGAGCTGAAATAGGATCTTACCGTCTTAAGCACTTGGGCTATCTTTGATAGTGAACAGGGGAACTTAAACGTTTGGCCTTATATACCAGCTCTACATGATAGAAAGTTAGAACTTTTTGGGGCCCGGCTGTTGAAGAAGAGCACTTGGGCTATGTGGCTGCTGTCGAGTCAGACTCCTGGCAGCATCTGAGGCGAGCCCTGGGCTTCCTGTAAAGGCTTCGCTAATTTGAGGCTTGCCTTCAGGCTTCCTTTGAACTGACCTTACTGCTACCGTTACCGGAGCCCTTATAGTACCCTTAAAACAACATTAAAGGTTCCTTGAAGGCTTTCTTTCAGGAAGGTTTCCTCGAGGCGTTTGCGTTGAAGCTTCCTGTAAGGCCTCCTGTAAGACTGCAATACTTATTTAAGGCTTCCTTCCAGGGTTCATTTATCCTTCCTTTAGGGGCAGCATGGCGTTCTACACTAGGGTCCCCTTTAAGTGAAAGTTCAGAATGTAATGCAGCGCCAGTGTACACAGGTCTCCGGAGGAATGGTGGTGAGCGTATTTTTTTTGTTGGGGGCGGGGGTCCGTTTGATTGAGGATGCTAGTCAAAAACTAAACCCTAGAACCAGGCCTTAAATTCAACTGCAGGGTCGATTTCAGGGCATTGGGTGTAGGGCTTAGAATGCAGGGTTTATTGTTTTAGGGTTTAGGGCTTAGGGTTTTAGGGCTTTAGGGTTTAGAGTTTAGGGTTTAGGGTTTAGGGGGGTGTTAGGGTGTAGGGCTCAGAGTGCAGGGTTTATTGTTTAACTAGGGCATTGGGTTTCGATCATTAAGAAACTCTCCTATAATATGGATCCTTACTGAAAGTTGTAAAGATACCACTAAAATATGGTTTAGAAGGGGCCCCCACTCTGTAATAGTGGTATAATAGGAATATAATGGGGCCCGAATATAATCCTTACAGGCACTATTACAGGGTGGGGGCAGCTTCTAAAATGTAGTTGTAATCATCCTCGGGCTTAGGGTGGAGGGTTTCCATTCTGCTGGCTGCGAGCTGAAGGCTTAGAAGTGAATGGCTTTGGGGGCTTCTACTTGGAGGGTCGGGGGACTTAGTAACCATAAGGGGTTTCTTAAGGGCCCCTTTAAAGGGATCTATAGGGATTCTATAAGGGTTTAGGGTTTAGGGGACTTAGTAAGTGGTTATTTTTGGGACTTATAAGTACCATAATCCCAATTAGGGTCCCTTTTAGGGTACTTATAAGTCTACTTACTACCTACTTACTCCGTGCCCCGACCCTCCAAGTAATTGCTCGAGCTGGCCAAGGTGACGCAAAGCCACGGAGAATATGTACATCCATACATACATCTATGTAGATGCTCACCTTAGAAGTATGTATGTGCGTACGCATGTATGTGTGTATATATATATATATATGCACACACACACACACACACACACCTCCTTCTCCTTCTCATCTAGAGTCTTTGAATCCATACACCTTGCCCTGCACCTAATATAATTCAGGGTTCTCAGTTGCAAGTCTCTGAGTCTGGGGTTTCGTTCGGGGTTCAGTTGCTTTGTTCGACTAGGGTTTAAAGGCATTGGGCTCCAGGGTTTAGGCATTACGGTTTAAAGGCTTTGGGCTTTTGGGTCAGCCATCTCACAAACACTGCTGCAACGAACCCTAAACCCTAAACCTCACATCCCAAACCCTAAATCCTAAACCCTAAACCCTAAACGGCCTGGGTGTTCCCAGATGTTTCCCTCGTCCCTAAACCCCGGCATCCAAAGCTCCAAACACCTAGCCCTGTACCGCTTAAACCCTACCCGAAACCCTACCAAAGCCCGAAACTCTATCCAGCTGGGGTTTAGGGTTCTAGGGTTTAGGATGTAGGTTTAGGATTTAGGGTTTAGGATTTAGGATTTTTAGAGTTTAGGGTTTAGGATTTAGGATCTAGGGTTTAGGATTTAGGTTTTAGGGTTTAGGGTTTAGGGTGTCTGGGCGGCCAGGGGCTTCAGGACTTTCCAGCAACGCCAGGGTCTCCCGGTCGGGAGGATCGGAGTGAGCGGACTCGTCACCCTACGGTTGATGATATACATCCTGGGTTCCTTTAAAGGGATCTATAAGGGCACCTTTAGAGGTTTACGAGGTTCCTTTAAGGGATCTATAGGGCGTAGGGTTTAGGGCTATAAATCCTGCATTACCCATAGTAAGAATACATACCATAATTCCCATAGTCTAGGGTCATTAAGGTAATGCAGGATTGAGATCGTCATCAACCGTAATTCACACAGAATGTCCAAGAAGCGCAGAAATCTTGGACAGCGCGGTTTTCCTCCTGACTTCCTGGTCGACCAGTGGGCAGCAAGGAATGCACGGGAGGAAATGTGAAGACGTGATTGACACGCCCAGTTCAAGCAGGTTCGCACAACGTGAGGAAATTGACATGCTTTCTGATGGCGTCACTGCTTCTCACCATCGACAAGCCCTATAAGGGTCCATGTACCCAAATAGTATATACATTAGCCTTAACCTAGTCCCTATTTGTGTACTTTAGGGCCAAAGTATATACTAGTTGAGTGCATGGACCCTTAGGGAAAGTGTGCTCGGCGAGGGTTTGGCGTCGTGCCGCAAGAAAACCGGCGGCTGCCCTGCCGAGGAGGCTGTCATTTCAGCGCCATCGTCGCTGCGACCGTAAGACGCCAGAACCCTTAAATCCGGTCTTTAGGGTACCATACTTTAATGCGTTTTTTCTTACAGGAACCATTACGAAATACAAGTTTATACATATTTTACCCATCCGTCCACCCCTGTGAGGTTCGTAGCGAAATCCGTAGTAAAGCTTGGTTTTTAAAGCCTTATAACATACTCCAGCGTGCAGCCGAGGATCGAGTATTCAAGCTGTATGTATTCTGGGCTTTGGAGTCTTTAATGATACTTTCTTAAAGGAACAATTATGAAGAAGAAGTTTATGCTGTTTTAAAAGCCCAGTATTACTTAAGGGTTAGGTTAGGGCTAAGACTGGTCAGGCCTTCAGGGTTAGGGCTTGGGGTCTTCAGAGTTTAGGTTTCGGGGTGTTTTTTGGGGTCAGAGATCAGGTATCAAGTATCGGGCGTTCGGTTGTAGGGCTTTGCGTTTTCTGGGTTGGCTAGTTTTGAGTTAGCAAGTGGTGACCTGACTGCGCTGAGCCTAAACCCTAAGCCCTAAAGCCTAAACTCCAAACTCGGATTGTGCACGAACGGGATCCGGCAAATGCTTCCCTTGCAAACCAAGACGCAGACTTGTGAGAGAGACCCTACAAAACAGGGGCCCGTAGTAAATTTCTAAACAAAGGGGTATAGTTCACCATAGCTATTCAGCAGTATAAAGGGATACTCATGTGTAAGGCCTTCATATTTTGAGTTTGTGTTTTGCGATCTTCGCGACAGGCGGCGTGGATGAAATGTTCGCGCTGTTGAAGCCTTGCTGCAAGCGGACTCTGATCCCAACACCCTTAACCCCATACCTTACATATTCTACCAAGTATCTGTGCTTATAACGAACACCGCGAGCTCTATCGAAGACAGTTCCGAACTCTTGGTATCCTGTACTGGTACCCTCAGCCCGAGACTTTCTAGGTCTGCAACCAACGACGAGCCATAAAGCCCCGAACACTGAAATGTCCACAACAGTTGTACTCCTTACTATACCTGAAATGTTGCGGGCCTGAACGTGATGTGAAGGTACATTCCTTTAGCAAGGCGTGTTGGGCTTTCTGGGTTAATGACCTCGAAGAACAACTCCCAAATGCAACACTCTAAACCCTAAGCCCATACAGAAATTCAAGCAGTGAACATGTCCTTTCTTTGAGGTGGTTCTGTTGGAGGGTTCGCGTAGCGTGTCCGGGCTTTTTCGGGGTCCATTTGTAAATCTGTCGGCCTCACGAGGTTTATGTAGTCATGAAGGTTTTTGCTTCAAGGGTTTTCCATGGGGTTTAGTAGTGTCCACATGAAGGTTTTAATAAGGTTTGTAGTAAGGCTTTCAGACTTTAGAGCCTTGATTTCAAGCCTTCAGAGCCGTCGAACCCGTCTAGAACCCTTCAAGGTTATACACCCCATTACACCCCTTTAACAAGACTCCAAAACCCTAAATCCCAAAGCCTTAAACCCTAAACCCATAGCCATTAACCCCTAAACACCAAAGCCTTACACCCTTAAATCTCTAAACTTTAGGCCCTAAACGCCAATGTCTTAAATCATAACCGGCAACGAGTGAATCCCTCAACCACTCTCTTAAACCTTACCTTAAGCCAAATAACCTGCCTTGTTGAAGACTTATACAAAGAATTCATAGTAAGGAACCCTAAAAAGGTAGGTTCTGTTGGGTCCAGGTAAACCCGAAGCGAATGAATCCCTTAGATACTCTCTCAGGAGTGATACTCTCTTCCAGCAGACGGGAAGCCCCTCGGCTACGCCCTTTTTTGCTTTTGGCATCAGGGTTTAAGCCTTCAGAGTTTAAGGTTAAAGGTTTTGGGGTTTAAGGCTTTACGAGTTCAAGGTTTAGGGTGTAAGGGTTTCGGTATTAAGGCTTAAGAGTTTAAGGTTAAGGGTTGACAGCTTAAGGCTTACGAGTTTAAGGGTTAGAGTTTAGGGCTTAAGGCTTAAAAGTGTAAGGTCTTTCGACTTTCGAGTTTAAGGCTTAGGGTTTAGGGTTTGAGGCTGAAGAGTTTAAGGTTAAGGGTTTAAAGCTTAAGGCTAGAGAGTTTTAAAGGTTAGGGTTTTGGGTTCAAGGCTCAAGAGTTTAAGGTTAAGAGTTTAGAGTTTGAGGCTTAAGAGTTCAAGGATCAGGGTTTAGGCTTTAAGGCTTCAGAGTTTAGGGGTTCAGGGTTTAGGGTTTCACGGTTCCGGTGTTTGGGTACTACCGTTCTTCGAGGTTGCTGGTTTGTGTTTCTTGTTTCTGTGCGGCTTGAGGTTTGGGGTTTACGTTTTGCGGGTTGGGGTTTCGGGTTTGGCCGGGCTAGTAGTCGTCGTCGCAATCTAGGAGTCGCAGCAGGGGTTAGGGGTACTGTTCTAGCCTGAATCCCCTAAACCCTAATCCCTGAACCCTAAACCCCTAAACCCTAAACCCTAAACCCGGACTTATTCCTTAGGGTTCCTTCGAGGCATAGAGCTCTTGAGGATTGCTTTAAATGGCTTGGGGGCTTCAGGGTTGAGGGCTTATAGGTCTTCAGTCTTTAGGGTGTGCGTGTTGGGGTTTTTTGTAGTAGCCAGAAAGTTGGAACATCCTTATCCTCATGCCCTTCAGGTAAAGTATAAAGGATCCTAGCACTAATCCTCCTAGAGCCATGTTCCAACTTTCTGGCTTCTACTGTAGGTTGCTAGGTTGGGCTTGTAAGGAAAAGGCAAGCTGCAAGCTTCGCAGTTTGGCATTTTGAGTCTGAGAATTGGAGGTTGCATCACGGAACAGCTGAGATGTGAAGCCGTTACTCACTTTCCATTGAATGCATGACCCACAAGCCCTGCCGGCGTGTTACTGGTACATCAGTTTTGGGGTTTAGGTCTCAAGCAATCGCATGAACCACCGCTGCTTCTTCATCCCTTACTAGCTTTCGTTCATTGCCCCCGACAGCCTCCTTGCTTCGGTGTGTCGTCTGTGCATGCACTTGACCTTAGCATGTTCTTTACTTTGTTTACCCTAAACCCTAAACCATAAACCTTAGGCCCTAAACCCTAAACCCTATTATTTATAGAAGCCTGAGAAATTACCAGTACTATTCCACAGGGTTGCTTAAAATACTCTACTATTACACACCCCAAAACCCCTATTCTAGTTGCGTATGCTAACAAACCTATGATTCAGCCCAAAGCCCTATTCTAGGTAAGGTTTAAGGTTTAGGGTTTGGGGCGGTTTGGGTTTAGGGTTAGTGGTAAAGGCCCGTACATCACTTTGCGGCGTCATCCGTAGATCGTAGACCTCACGACCAAACCCTGCGACCCAAGCCCCAAGTTTAGGGTGCCCCCTACAACCCATCAAACCAAAGCCGCGACTCGCAAAAGTTCCCATCAAGCCCGACACCTGAAGTGTACGCGCTAACACCGTGCGAATTGTCTGGCGGCGGGGATTTGTGGGCAGGAGATCGGAAAAGCCTGCGCGCTGGTTTCGGAAAAGCATATGCCGCAACTCCTGCAAATTCAGGCCTACCCAGAGACTCCAATACCCCGTAATTAAGGAAAATTCCTTTTTAAATCATATTAGGGCTCCTTCGATAACTTAAGATATATTCCTTAATTAAGGGATATTGGAGTCTCTGGGCACTGTGGCTTGAGGGGCATCAGCTCACAACGGCCAAGAGCATTCCTATCTTGGGGTCGTTTGCTATCGCATATCTCAGGAGGACCGACGAGGCCGGAACATGGAAGAGCTCCCTAAACCCTAAGCCCCCAAACCCTAAACCCCCTAAACCCCTAAACCCCTAAACCCTAAACCCCTAAACCCCTAAACCCTAAACCCCTAAACCCCTAAACCGTAAACCCCCAAACCCTAAACCCCTAAACCCTAAACCCCTAAACCGTAAACCCCTAAACCCCTAAACCCTAAACCCTAAACCCCCAAACCCCCAAACCCTAAACCCCCAAACCCCCAAACCCAAAACCCCTAAACCCTAAACCCCCAAACCCCCAAACCCCAAACCCCCAAACCCCCAAACCCAAAACCCTAAACCCTACTGCAACCCCAGGCCACCTAAGGAGGCCCAGAGGTCCTGGTGTTTGCCATCTCACAAGGACAAGGCTCCAAGTACCCAAATAGTATATACTTAAAGGGTTCCTTTAAGGGGGTCCCTTAAAGGGTTCTATAGGGTTTAGGGTATAGGGGTCCATGGTACCCATGTAGTATATACTTAGGCCTTGAAGTACTATATAGGAACCCACCCCTTTAAGGCTTAAGTATCTACATTATAAAGGTACATGGAGCCTTTGGGACAACGACAGTATTTCTTTTCAGCCGATGTATAGGGTCATCATATACCCCACAACCCTAGTCCCATCATTAAGGCCTTCTTGTAGAAGAAACCCTTGCAGACCAACTTGTAAGGAATCCTATTCTAATCCGTATAATGCCCCGAAATTGCTTGCAATTCCAGGTTGCCTGGAGCGACCGGGGCGACAGAAAGCAGTAAGCGCCCGGGGGCCTACCTCAAAGGATTAGATCCCAAGTAAGGTTTGGGGTTTAGAGTTTTCAGGCTTCGAGATTGTTTTTTCGTGGATTGAAGTTGATCCGAAGGGGCTTTTGGCTGGAAATAGCATAGTATAAACAGCTTCCTGGGCCGAATCGAGAGCTTACATGACGGCTTAGGGTGCTTCTGGGTTTAAAGGGGCGGAGCCCTCTCGTTTCGAGTTTCCTTGCTGGTGCAAGCATTCGCCGGAGCCCCTAACTTGCTAAACCCGGCAATTCCTAAACTCCTCAAGCGCCCAGCCCCCAGAGAACGCCTATGAATCACCCTCACGAGAATCTCTGTAGAACCCTTCAACATCCCTACCGAACCCTATGAGAACATGCATCAAAAGTTTGCGAAGACCTAACCATGAACATTCCCCAAGTTCATATAGCCTACAAAACCGTATGAATCCCAGAGTGTCCATGTATACTACTATTTCTTAGGTCCCCGAAACCATAATATGGATGGTCTCTTTCGGGACCGATAATTCCCTAATGGTAGTGGATATATACCCTCCGAGAATCCTCATGCCCTTAGCAAGCTTAGACCCTAAACCCTAAACTAAAACCCGCAGCTTTTGAACCCAAAGCCAAGCCTTCCCCTAAGACTCCAGAATAGCTCAGCCTAAACCCTAAACCCTAAACTCAAAGTAGGTTTTTTTTGTAGATACTTGGAGGCCTAGGGCACTTGCCAATTCCCATAAGTGCCCCTAAAGCCCCCCTTTAAGAACCCTTACAGATCCCTCTCCTTTACTGCTCTTAGGAATTGTGTTTTATGTTTATGACAATAAAGCTTCAGGGTATAACAACAAGGATTACATTTGCTATTCTGTGCTTAAGGGCGGCTACGTTTCAAAGGGGCCCTAAACCCTGATCTCCCAAACCCCTAAACTCTAAACCCTAAACCCCTAAACCCCTAAAACCCCAAACCCTAAACCCTAAACCATAAACAAAGCCCTAAAACCCCAAACCCTAAACCCTAAACAAAGCCCTAAAACCCCAAACCCTAAACCCTAAACAAAGCCCTAAAACCCCAAACCCTAAACCCTAAACAAAGCCCTAAAACCCCAAACCCCTGAACCCTGAGCCGTGGAAGTCTTCGGGTTTAATTGCTTCGAGGATGAGCACCGGCGCCTGACCTTTGCGCAGCGCTGCGCCGACTTCCTCGGGTCCAAGGAGGATGACCTTTGTAAAAATAGCACAATGTAGTATATTTGTAATGCAACACATTTTAAATTCAGTATAATGTGCTGTAACATACATACATATATATATAGAGAGAGAGAGGCAGTGTGTGTGTGTGTGTAATATACAATACAGCATGTGGTAGTCTAGTATAGCTTTTTGTGAGTTTGTTTTGTTGAAGGAGGGTTAAGGTGCCTGCGTGCCCAAGTGGTCCCTAGCGGTGAAATTCTCTGACTGGTTGGCGGAAAGGACCGCTGGAGAAAAGCCACAAGGGGCTGACGACGCCGTTCGTGCAGTTGCTCTGGAACGAGTCTTGAAAAAACACGAAGGGGAAGACGCCTTTACTTCAAGGCTGTCCCCCCGAGACGGGAACTGTCTGTTGATGTCACTATTCCTAGCTCACCGCATAGCATGCGCGTGGGAGGCATTGAAGGAGTACAGCCAATTGGGGGCACTGGTGGACAACCAAAATCCAGAAAGGGGGACGGAAGCTATCAGAGCCAGGGCAATGATCAGAGACCCACTCGACATGCTAAATGCCATGGTAGGCTTTCTTTTTTTGGAGGGGCAAGTAGGGGGGGGATTTGCGGATTTAGCCTTGTATTGAAACATAGGCTCCACAGTACTTCCTTTTTTGGTGTTCATGTAGAATCCGATAAGGTAACCCCAAAAAGGAACTACGATGGAGCCTGTAGGGAGCTTGTTTTGTTGAGGGGGAGTCTGGGGTTTCCAGCCAGTTTAGGATTTATGGACTTGTTGGGTTTAGTGCTTAGGGTTTAGGGTTCGGGGTTTGATAAAATGCCCGAGGTCATCCTTATACAATTCCTCTAAATCCTTGTAGAACCCAGACAGAAATCCAAGGTCTTCCTTATACTAGAGTCCTCATTGCTTAAACCCTAAACCCTCTGTTTTTAATTACAATTCCTCTAGCATCCTGATTGCCTGATATAGGGCCTAAATAATGAACTATACCATTTTGGGGGTCCTCACGAAGCGGCCCCCAAACCCATTCTAATTATGAAGGCTCCTATATGAATGGCTCTGCAAGGGGGATTTCCTGTCAGGAGCCGGAGGCTCTACAGCTTCTTGGCCTCTCTTTGATAAGGGCTTAGGGTTTAGAGCTTAGGTTAGGGCTTGGAGCTGAATAGCACCCCCTCATCATGCATTCAGTTCATTCCATCAGAGCTGAGACCAGTTTTACACTGGAGTTCCCTCTAGAATGGCATGGAGCAACTCAAGGTTCACCCACCCAACACTGTCCCCCACATTTTGTGTAATATGCTCCGGAGTCCTCGTCTAAGTACGAAGGCCACTACCCTAAGGGTCCAAGTACCCAGTTATCATATACTCTCACGAATAGTAGCCTACATAACAGCTATCCCAAACCCGTGTACCTAATTATCGGGTCCTTGGGACCCTTACCGTGAAATTCAGCGTGCTGTTGAGGTTGAAGTTTACCTAGGATACCCAGTAGTACCCTTATTCCCTTTTTGTAGTCCTAGGTTCCCTATAAAGTTACCCAATACCAAAAAGGGAGGTCTTTTTATTCCTAGGTTACTGGGCATCCTACGGTTGATGATAAAAATCTTGCATGACCTTAAGACCCTAAACCATGGGAATTATGGTATATTCCTTAGTGTGGGTAATGCAGGGTTTATATCATGAACAGTAGTTCCGCGTGACGGAGGTTTGTGGACGATTTGGGCTGCGAGGTTGAGGTTTAGGCGTTTTTTTCAGGTTTGGGGGTTTGTGCGCCGGGGCCAGGCACCTGTGGGGATGGGTTACACAAGGGGTTTAGGGTAGGGTTAAGGGTTTAGTTTAGGGTTTTTCGGGCTTTAGGTCTTAGGGTTTGGGGTGTGAGGGGTTTAGGGATGATAGGTTTTAGGGCTCTACATAAACCCATTCGGTTTTTTTGATTTGTTTGCACCTCAATTTCGAAACCTCCAGGCCCGAACCTTACCTAGACTCTTCAAATGTAGCACATAGGTGGTTGTCAAAATTAGGGTCCCTTTTTGGGTACCCTAAATAAGAGGTGCCGTATTATATTACGGACCCAAAGAGGAACCCTAATTTTGACAACTACCCACATGTTTTTTGTCGATGTTTTCCAATTCTGGGATCCTCACCACTAATAAGTCATCCGCGAAGGGACTACGGTGAAGGGTCTAGGTAGAATCACAACACAGCTTCCACATCCAGGTCTCAAAGTCCCAGCCGGGACAATAGCAATTTGCCTGGATCTACAGCTTTTATGTATGGGGTTTATAGGGTCTGGGGTTTAGGGTTCAGGGCCCGTTTTTTCGAGCTGAAGTAGGTCTCGGGGCTTTAGGATGAGAGTTGGTGAAGGACAACAGCTGCATGCGGGTCAAAACGCTGACCCACCCCGACTCTGGAAATTGCCCGAAGTACAATTACAACGCAGGCATTATCTATATGCTTGGCATTCTCAAAGGCTGATCCGTTAGCTTGTTAGTTTCTGCGGAAGGCTGCACATGTTGCGAGCTCTTTCTGTCTCAGGCGCCTTGTGGTTGCTCATGGAACGCAGGCAGGGCTGTTGGGCCTAGACTTGAAGTTAGTTGGGGCGAGGGTTTGCGATGGCCTCGGGCTGCAAACCAACAGTCCAGTTTCCTGAACCCTAAACCCTAAACCCTACTCCAAGCTCCAATCCTACACGCTCCTAAAGCTCTTTACCCCTAAGCTCGAAACCCTACTCCAAGCTCCAATCCTAAACTCTTTACCCCTAAGCCCTAAGCCCTAAACCATACTCCAAGCTCCAATCCTAAACGGTCCGAAAGCTCTTTACCCCTAAGCCCTAAGCCCTAAACCTTACTCCAAGCTCCAATCCTAAACGGTCCGAAAGCTCTTTACCCCTAAGCCCTAAGCCTTAAACCTTACTCCAAGCTCCAATCCTAAACGGTCCGAAAGCTCTTTAACCCTAAGCCCTAAACCCTAAACCCTACTCCAAGCTCCAATCCTAAAAGGTCCTAAACTGTTTAGTCGCGATTTTGGTTACGAACTCCAGACACCTGGCTTTTGCATGGAGTAGTTTTGGGATGTGGGGTTTGAAGGCAGGCGAAAGCCCAACCCATGCAAAAGACGGAATCGGCAGTGGGAGAGGTGTTCTGAAAGGTCGCCTGTCATGGGCGTATGTTGCTTTCCAACTCGGTTTTGACTCAAAGCGTAAACCTAAAGCCCAATCCAGGGTGTAATGCAGAAGCCTAAATAGTTACCAATGCTAGTCTTAGGGCTCCTGATGACTATACGAAAATGTACCCAGAGCCCTATCCTAATTATGAAAGCCCCTACAGCATCGGCGACAATAGGGCGCGGTGTGTAAGTTTAATTTGTGCAGTGCAGAGGCCATCTATGCCACGGCCTCGGAAGCCTCTCTGGTGGTGCTGCCTTACATCAACGGCCAAGTAGGCAAAGTGCTCAGGGTTGAAAGGATTGAGGGTTGGGGGGTAAGGGTTCAGGGGTTCGGGTTCAGAGTTGAAGGGAATTAGGCTTAAGGTTGGGGGCTTAGGGCTTGGAGTGTCAGGTTTGTTCTGAGCGTGCTTTTGCGGCATGCCTAGTTAATCTGTGGTAAGGTATTTCGCGTCGCCCTTGGATGCGGCTAGTAGGGTCCAAGCTTAATCATGCTGCTTGCAGACCCTCTGCTGATGACATCAAAGTTTTGCTGGAGAAGGGAGCAAATTGAAAGCCGCCACGTCCATCGATTCTTCAAGCAGCCCCCTATGTTATGGTTCCCAAACCCTATATAAACCCTAGCTTACCCTAGGGATCTAAGGACTCATATACTAAGGCTTTTGGGCCCAAAGACCATACTATATAAGGCTTTTGGGCTATTTTGATCCCTACAGAGTTACAAGAGCCCCAACCCTCAGCTCCTAAACCATAGCCCATTCAGTCCTCCTAAAGCACAAAGGCCCCCTACGCCTTGGTATTCAAGGCATCTGATATAGACGATTACCCAAAGGCTCCCTGTACCTGTATAGTAGATACTTAAGCCTTAACGGGGTCCCTATGTAGGTACTTTAAGGCCCAGGGATATACTATATGGGTACATGGGGCCTTAGGGTTATAGAGGTCTTGATAACTAGACCCTGAACGCTAAACCCAAATATAGAGGATTCTAGAGGCCTGAAGAGCTAGAGTAGGGTCTTGAAGGGCTTTTTGGTATAAAGGGAACTCCAGAAAGTTGGAATATGGTTTCAGGGTAGGATACCCTATAATTTACCATAGAGGGTGTAGGATAATCATATTCCAACTTTCTGGCTTTTACTGTAAACATGTAAGGAAGACTAAGGAGCAACATTGGTAACTACCCAGGTCCCTATACGTCACATCCCCCAGCTCTCCACAAAGGGGGGATCCGACTAGCGATGTATCCCAAAAGCCTTGTTGCTTATGAGGAGCAGGAATGGCGGTATAGAAGTAGCAGTGGTAGCAGCAACTGAAGCTGGAGTAGCAGGAGGAGTTTCAATGGAACTGCTGGCGTCACAGCAAGCCGGAACGAGTGGAATGTCGGTGGAACAATGACCGCCATCGTGACAATAACATTCGTTTCATCGAAGTCAACATCCGAAGCACACGCAGGAACAGTGCCCCCCGCCAGTACTAATGCCTTCCACCACCTTACAAAAAAACAGAAGTCCTAAATCGCAAACCCTAAACCCTAAGCCCGAAACCACATGCTACAAACCTTGAAGCCCGAAAAGGCGGCGATGTGCAGAGCTTTGCACAGCCGCCGAACTGCATCAAGTGCTGGGAGACCTTTTGATCATGCAAATGTCACGTTCAGGGCTTAGTTTGGTTTCGGGTTAAGTGTTCACAGCCGGAGGACTTTAGATCGAATCAGTTTAGTGTCGAGTGTGTTGGGACGTTGAATTTTGTGAGTTTCGGGCCTGCATTCAGGAAATGTTGACGGTTGGGGGCATGCGGTGCTCCCGGAGATTCCACACGGAACATTTCCTTGTGTTTGTAGCAGTAAACTTTCAGCCCATTGCCGTCAGCGTCATCGCTATCGCCAGAATCGCCATCATTGTCGGCGCGATGATCTTACTGACACTCGTCATGCTGATCCCGGCATCAATATGACTATCCGGATCAGCCGGCCCCTGTTCCGTGATGCTGCCGGCCCGAAAACCCTCCATAATCCCGTATGATACAATTGAGGAGGCTCCTTACATGTCTTTTCAGCTTCACAGAGTTCTATCCCACACCCTAATCCCTAAGCGAAACCAACGGGGTTTTGTTTAGGTTTGGATATCCTTCATCTTACACTGGTACCAGTAAAAGCTGCTCCTGGAGGCATCCATAGCGCTAACGTTGGGGCCTGAGGGCTACAGGTTGTGGTTAACCCTAAGGCTCCATGTACCCATATAGTAATATACTTGGGCCTTAAAGTACGGGGCTTTAAAGTACCTACATAGGGACCCCTTTAAGGCTTAAGTATCTACCATAAAGTTACATGGAGCGTTTGGGTAAGGGTAATGTAAATCCGCGAACGACGAGCAGATCCTAAACTACCCTAAACCAAACCTCTAAACCCTTAACCCAAATGCTTCCTTAAGAGCCCCAGCACTGCAATTGCCAATCCTGAGCCCTGAGTTTGTAGAAATGTTTAGAGCCCGTAGAGACCCCGTGAGAACCCTGTAGGCAACCGTAGAGAATCTTCGGAGATCACAAAGAGTTTAGTATAGAAGCCTGAAGCAGGATTATACTTTATTCTTCCTTATAGGCTTCCTCATGTCATGTATAGAATAATGCACCGCCCAAACACTGTTTGAATTAGTACGGCGACTGTTAGGGTTGCTAAGGGTTTCACGAAACCCTAAACCCCTAAACCCCTAAACTCTCAACCCCTAAACCCTATACCCCTACACCGCTGAACCCTAAACCCCTACACACCTAAACCCTAACCCCTAAACCCCTAAACCCTAAACCCCTGAACCCTAAACCCGGCCCTAAACCCTAAACCCTTGCAGCTTGAGAAGCAACCCAGAGAGCCCAAAACCCCTTAACTAAGGAATATAGCTTAACTCATAGTATGAAGCCCTATTAATTTAAGCCGCATTCCTTAGTTGAGGGGTATTGGGCTCTTGGGAAGAGCTGAGGATGTCTGCGTTGGCCTCGGCCGTGCAATTCCTCGGGGGCCTCGCGTTTGGGCGGATGACCGACCAGCGAGGTGCTTCTGCTACCTTGGCCCTAGACCCTAAACGATTTTCTTTTGCGGGGGGCTTGATGTGATAGGATGTGATGTAGAGTTGTCTATCATGTTTTAGAATCTCAATAGGGCTTAGAAGGATGTTTCAGCACTGTAGATGGTTTGGTAGGGTTTGTAGGGTTGTTGGTCAGGGTGAGAGTGGTGTGTAGAGGACCCAAAACCCTAAACCCTAAACCGTTTTGGGAGTCGCATCTACTTATGCTGTGACTGCCGACTCGGATGGGCTTTCTGACTTCTTGGAGCTGGCGTTAGAAAGTAGATCCCCTAATTTGGGACCCTCTACTACTAAGGGTACTTTGTAGGAGCCCCCATTAAGGGATCTACTTTTGTGCTTGAAGCTGATTTGCAAAAAACTTCGTTCCAAACCTGAGCAAAGAGTTGGACACTCTCAACCCTCAAACCCTAACTCCAAGTTTCGATTGCCCGGGCCCAAACCTTAAGCTCTTGAAACCACACGCACACACACAAACACTGAAATCCCAAACTGTGGAAACAACACACGGAAGAGCGATGACGACCTGCTGACCACCTTCAACTATGAAGCCCGGCACCCTCTAAACCCCTCTACGGTAGATGCCAGAAAGTTGGAACATTAGTATCCTCATGCCCCTAAAGTAAAGTATAAGAGATCCTAGCATTAATCCTCCTAAACCCATGTTCCAACTTTCTGGCTTCTACTGTAAACCCCTCGAAACCTCAAAGCCAGACCACCAGCTCGCCTACGTGTTTTTTGAAAGCCTCATACAACTTCAGACTCCTACTTGCTGCAGCATTCCCCAGAGCCTCCAATATCCCTTAATTAAGGAATATACCTTAAATTATAGTAGGGATCCTACTATAATTTAAGGAATATTCCTTAATTAAGGGATATTGGAGGCTCTGGGTCCGGGTTCAAGTTTTGCATCTGTCGTTTGTTAGTTGATCTGCACGGCGCTTGCGTCTTTGACGTTGCTGCGATTGCTGCTTGCATGTGCTGAAGTGTTCTTTGTGTGGCGGTTGTACAGATCCTAAGCAACTGTCAGCGCCTGGGAACCTTGCCTACAGACATATCACTACCCTAGAATCCTATAGATAATTACTGGGGTACGGCCCCCATACGGTAAGAGTCTATAATAGGGCTACTATCAAGGTCCTACTATATCTTTATTATGAATATTATTCAACTATTACTGAGTGGGGGCCGTACCTAAATAATTACCCATATCATTCCTGAGGGCCTCTACCTTAATGCAGAAACCCTGGCGGCTGACTTCAGAGTTTTGGGCATGCGCCAGCTTTCTTGGCTACCCAGAGACTCCAATATCCCTTAATTAAGGAATATTCCTTAAATCATATTAGGGATCCTTTTATAATTTCAGGTATATCCCTTAATTAAGGGATATTGGAGGCTCTGGGTAGACTGTTGGCAAAAGCGAACCCACGCAAGAGCCACATGACGACGCCCCCAAAGACCCTGAACTCGAAACCCCAAGCCCCTAAAAGGCCCCAACTCTAAACCCTATAAGGATGGTTGTCAAAATTAGGATCCTTTTTGGGTCCCTATTATAGTACGGCACCTATTATTTAGCGTACCCGAAAAGGGACCATCATTTTGACAACCACCCAAATAAGACCCTAAGCCCCTGAATCCCCTCAAACCGTGAAGCCCCGAAATCCTCAACCGAGCCCTAGCACCCCAAACCTACACACTCGATTTGCCTCAAACCCCTTCTGTCGTAGTGGGAGTAGTAGGAGTAGTAGGAACAATGATAGTAGTGTAGTATGAATCCGGTAATGTAGTAGTGAGAATATAACAATGACAATCATAGCAGCAATTGACAGGCAGTTTCTGGGCCCTGATGACGGCACATGGTGCATCGCTAGGCCAGGTCCTCAGACGCCCTTTAGGGTTTAGGGTTTAGGGTACGACCCGAACAATAACGGGGACTTAGCAATTTGAATGGGTGAGCCTTTGACCCAAAACCCACTAATGAAGGGGACTTAAAAATCAGAACCGCGTTCTGTGGCAAATGGTGGTATAAATACAATCGGAAGCCTTAAGGCATACGACTATTCATTAGGAGTGCGTTTATTCAGGGTTGGGGGTTTAGGCTGCAGTGCTTTTAAGGGATCAGCATGTCGGATCGTGGGGCGAGGGTTTAGGATTTGGGTCTACTACTATTCTAGGGGCATAAATGCTATCGCGTTTTGGGTCGGGAAACCCTAAACCCTAAGCCCTAAACCCCGAAACCCTAAACCCCTTCTGGAGGTCTGTGAAGGTTCGGTTCGTTAAGACCCGTAGAGCCTTCGACTCAGATCCTAAACCCACGACATCCCTTGTGAAGGCTACCCAAAGATCCCAATACATTTCAATTAAGTTAATTAAGGAATATTCCTTCAAACCATAATATAAGGCCCTAGAATTTAAGGAATATTCCTTGACAAAGGGTATTGGGATCTCTGACTACCGGACCCCAGCTCCCACACAAGGGGCACAAGGTCTTATCGCCTTAATCCTTCTAAGCCGCTACCCCCCCCCAAAACAAGGGAAGTCCTGAACCCTGACCCTGTCGCACCCTCTTCCCAGAGAGGCCAGTACCGCTTAATTAAGGAACATGGCTTAAATTATATAGGGCTTTATGTTCTTAGATTTAAGCCATATTCCTTAATTAAGGGGTATTGGGCTCTCTGGGTTCCCAAAAAGCACCAAGGATTGGAAGCGCGAAAACTGTGTCGGCCAGGCTCTGCAGGACAAGGGCGAACGCAAACGCGACTGCTCAGCCTACTCCTGGTGAGCCGTCGCAGGACGAGCCCGAGGAGGTTGAAGAAGATGCGGGAGAGCGAGCCGCAGAGCCACCCCCACAGGCAGCACAAGGAGGGGCGAGGTTCCAGGCTATCTGCTCCGTCGCAGCAGATGAACGGCCTAAGCTGAGCATTCAACAAGCTGCGTATCCGGCAGTACACTTTCTTATAAGAGTGGCTCATCACCGCATGTTACGTTCACACAGCTCGGAGAAGTGTTCGACGCTCCACAGCCAGGTGCTTTGCTTTCTGGGCGCCCTGGAGTTCCCAGAGAGCCCAATACCCCTTAATTAAGGAATATAGCTTAACTCATAATTTAAAGCCCAATATAATTTAAGCCATATTCCTTAATTAAGGGGTATTGGGCTCTTTGGGCTGATGTTCAGGGCTTTCTTGCTGGTCGCCAACTGGAGCATCTTTACCCCCTGGCACGCCATATACCCGCCCCCCCAGTTTCACTTTAATTAGAAGATGGTTTCGGGGTTGCCCCGTAGTACCCATAAGCCCCAGAGTAGTTCTTTTTCGGGATTACTTTATAGGATTCTACATATGAGCCCCCAATCAAAAGGACCTACTCTGGGGCCTATGGGTATAACCATACATGATTTTGAGGGACCCGCAAGAGAGGCCTGAGAGTCCTTAGTTCAAAGGGGAAAACGAGGGACCCTTAATGGGGACTCCTACCCTATAATGGGCTATATACTAGGTATATAAGAGCTATATTAAGGATATACATGTAGGGGTCCTTATTAAGGGTCCCTCCTTTTACCCTTGGATTAGTGGTAGATCGTTGTTTGGTCTGCGGTACGGTGTGGTGCCGGGTGTATAGGGTTTAGGGTTTACCTTAAGCCTCAAGCACCACATATCCCGACCATTTCGATGATGAGGGTCCCGTTGAAACTTGTCAGTTCCAGGCCTGAGCAGCAAGCGGCAAACCCCAATGAGGCCCTTCATTAAAGCCTCGATGGATGCCCAAATGCAGCCCTACAGCCCGAGACCTTCCAGGAACTCTCCAACGAATCCTACCAGCAACCCATCGAGTAAATCCTAAGCCCTTAGCCCGTAAAGAAATCCGAGAACCGCAAAAGCAACCAACTTAAAGGACTCTTAAAGGCAACCCAGTGAGCTTCGAACCCCTCCCAACGTACAACCGCCAACGCCCCTTGAGTCAAGAACCTAAGTCATATGAAGGATCCTCCATAATTCGAGGGAAACCCTGGAACCTAAACTTTAAATTTGTTCCATCACCAGAATTGAGGGCAGCCCTAAACCCTTAATCCTAAACTTTATTTAAAACTCCACGGTCTTCAATCTCCGAGTATGTCTTTTATACACAGGATCTACCCTAAATCCCACGCCAAAACCCCAAGCCCTCAACCCTAAAATCTCGAATCCCAACTTCCCAACCCTAAACCCTTGCATGGACTAAACCCTAAACCCCTATAAAATATCCGGGCCCCCCGGACCATAACCCCTCTTTGGGAGTTTCCGAAAATTAGGGTACCTTATTTTGGGGTCCTTGTAATAAGGATACTACTATTCAGGGAACTATATTAGGGTCCCCTGTTTTTGGAAACCCCCATTTGAGGGTACAAGGAGGGTCCTGGAAGACCCGACACTTTTAAGGAATCCTGTGTCCGCAACAGAACGCTGAGGCAGCGGACTCCTCGTGGCCTCGGCCTCCTCCAAGCAGGCGCTGACGGCAGCGCCGGGGCCTCCCAGGGGTTTAGGGTTTTGGAGTTTCCTTTAAAGGGATCTAGACGGGATCCTTAAGGGTTTCCGGGTTTAGGGGTTTAAATTTTACACAAACACTAAACCCTAATTCTAAACCCTAATTTAGGGTTTAGCGTTTGTGTGTGTGCTTACTCTAAAGTGGTATAGGGTTTAAGTTTCGTGGTTTGGGTGTACAGAAGTTGTTGTTGGTAGGCTTGTTTTGGGCTTGGTAGTGGTTTTGAAGATTGTTGGCAACAGTTTCGCTGGATCTTCAAATGATTTCTTTGGCTTCGTTCGTGGTAGTGGCTTCATAAGATGTGGTGAGCCCTTAACCCTAAACCCCTAAACCCTAAACCGTGGCGAGGGGCCTGTATGACTTCCAGATGCTTTTGTTACGGATTTTTGCGGTACTGTTTGTTTGGCTGCTGCGGAGCTTTACAGGACCTTCTTTGTATGGGTTGGGGCCTTGGGGTTCGGGGCCTGCACTATGCCTATGCCTTTACGTTACGGGTTATGCACTGCATGAACGGGTATGTAAATTAATACACACAATATGTGTGTGTGTATATATATATATATATGTATAGTATGGTTTATATGTATGTCAATATGTTTACATTTATATATGTATGTATGTATGTATGTATGTATGTATGTATGTACGTATGTATGTATGTATGTATATATATATATGTATATATAGATATGTGTATTTACTTGTTGTATTTCTATCTCTACGTGTAAACATATATACATATATATATATATATATAGAGAGAGAGAGAGAGAGAGAGATAGATATATAAAGGAATCTTGAAAAGCGACGATGGCAAGAGCCATGCCTCTCTATAACAGTTTGTGGAGACCTGTACTGCACGTCTCTGCATGGTAAGCACTCACTCCAGAATCATGACCTAGATCTAGACCTGAACCTTAAGCCCAACCCTGGGAATTCGGGTCGCGCTGCTTGCAGCTGATCTAGCATCTGCAAGGCGAGGCCTCGCGACTGACCCTAGCTAGGTTGGATTTTGGTACATTTTTCATTTTCCTTATTTGGGTTTATAAGGGACCCTATATATAAATATTTTTCAGGGTGTTTAAAGGCCAACCCAGCTAGAAAAGCAACAAGTCTGCTACGGCCGACGACGACTCCTGCTAGTTCCACTACGAAAAGCCACCCCCTCTACCGACTGCTCTTGTCAGACCAGGGTTCTGGAAGCTCGAGTGTGCAACGTCGACAGGTTTAGGGTTTAGGGGTGGTAGGACATTACGAAACTCCACAAATATGGTAAACCTCATGTGTTCTTCAGAGAGTTTAGAGCAAGTGTAGTTGGTAGGGGAGGGGTGCCTACGACCACTACGACTACTACCTAGCCCCTCTAGCCCTAGATCCTGGAACTTTCGCCTGAACGCCGAAGCATGCAAAGCCCTAATCCTCGGCAGCCTAAACCCGAACAAGCCCAAGAAAAAATAAACACTGTAGAAACAAATACGTATATATATATATATATATATATATATATATACATATACATATATATATATACACATGTATATATATATATATATATATGTCTATATATATATATATATATATATATATATATATATGTACGTGTACATATTAGTATACATATACATGTACATATACAAACATATATATATATATAGACACATATATATATATATATATATATTATGTACACCCACACCCTGTACCCCTATGAGCTGAACGCCTTAAACCCCGAAACCCGAAGCAAAGGATGCTGCCTTTGGCCATGGCCCATGGCTTCCAGGCAGTCTCGCTTTCGCGCTGGCGGGGGCTTTACGGTTTAGGGCTTCAAGGGACTGGCTTCAAGGATTTAGGGCTTTAAAAGACTGGCCTCAAGGGTTTTTTAGGGCGTTAAGATATTGATTTCGAGGGCTTAGGGCTTTAAGGGACTGGATTCAAGGGTTTAGGGCGTTAAGAGATTGATTTCAAGGGTTTAGGGCTTTAAGGGACTGGTTTCATGGGTTTCGGACGTTAGAGATTGATTTCAAGGGTTTAGGGCTTTCAGGGTTCGATTTCAGGGGTTTAGGGCGTGAGGGCTTGATGTTAAGAGAATGTTTCTGTTGAAAGCATTTGCTTTGAGGGAGGCCACGATCCCGTAGTCCAGAATCTTGCAATGTGTTGTCAAGTTTTACGCTTTAGGTTCAAGAGCTCCTAGGTCCTTAAAGAGGACCGGAGTCTGAAGTAAGCTACTTTGGTTCTGGAGATTAGGCTCAATCTCTCTTGGGAGACCTGGGGGACTTCGTAAGTAGGTTATAAGTACCTTAATTGGGGTTATAAGTTCCTTAAAGGGGTCTTTGAAAGGGATCTATAAGGGTTTTAAAAGGGGGGTTTAGAGTCCAGGGGACTTAGTAAGTAGGTTATAAGTAGGGTTATAAGTGCCTTAAACGGAGTTACCCCAATTATGACCCTGCTGATAACCTACTTATAAAGTTCCCCCGGGCCTCTAAGTAGGCACTACAACCTTGAATGCTGATCCGGCGAGATTTCGTGCAAGCCCTGCCATCTCGCCCGCAGCAGAACTAATCGGGAGGTAACATTTGATGCCGTAGTAGTAGAGTAGGCAACCTTTAACTTTTTTGGGGGGTAGTATAGTCCCCATATAATCCCTATATAACCACAAAGGTTAACCTTTGGTTCCCCATGATACCCGACAAGTAGGATGCCTCAAAACACCATCCACAGCAGTTGCTGAAACTACCGAGACGAAGAGCGCATGCAGCTGGTGCGCCGCCTTGTCGGCGGCGGGCTGCGGCCGGACGCCGGGAGCGAGACCACCGCTGTGTTGGGAGCAGCGTGATAACGCCATATGTGCTAAAGCATAGGCATAGGCCCCAGAGTAGTTCCTTTTTGGGATTACCTATATAGGATTCTACAGATGAGCCCCAAAAAAGAACTACTTTGGGGCGTGTTGGTATAAGCCCCAAATCCAGTCTTTGCAAGTGGCACATCTGATACAGCGTCGCTGCATTGAAGGAGCCACCGTCGCCATGACTCCAAGGGGAAAAGGAGGGACCCTTAATAAGGACCCCTAGCTAAATACCCTTAATATAGCTATTATATACCCATTGTATAGCCCATTATAGGGTAAGGGTCCCCGTTAAGGGTTTCTCCTTTTCCCCTTTGAATGACGCATCTTGAAACGGACAAGCAAAGGTCCTCCGCGGCTTCTCATCACAGATGATGCATTGTGGCGAGATCGGATCGCCCATGGAGAGAAGCCTCGTCATGACATCGTCGACTATCTTAGTGTTGCTCTTCGAAATTTGAGTAGGCGGGATAAACCCTAAACCCCTATATAAACCCTAAACCCTAGGGACATCTACCTGATCACCGCGACGATTTTGCCCCGCGAAGCTTCGTCTGAAATTGATGACCCTAAGGCTCCATGTAGCCTTATAGTAGATACTTAAGCCTTACAAGGGTCCCTATATAGATACTTTAAGGCCTAAGTATATACTATAAGGGTGCATGGAGCCTTAGGGTGAGTGAGCATGCTGCCCCGTCGACAAGAAGCCCCCCTTTGGATAGCTGTTCCCTAACCCTCAACCCTAAACCGTCAACCCTATTAAACCCTCAACCCTAAGCCCTCAACCTTAAGCCCTGTACCCTAAACCCTCAAACCTATACCCTCATCCCTGAACCGTAATTATACCCAGAGCCGGAGGATTCGGACGAGGAGTATTGTTTGGAGAATGTCTCTGACCTAAACCGCTTGAACCCAAGACCCATAGTTCGACCGTCAACCCTAAGTCCATCCCCAAACCGGAGACCCATCCCTGCATATGTGTAATTGGGTTTGTTTGGTGTGTGTGTGTGTGTGTGTGTGTGTGTGTGTGTGCGTCTGTATATATATATATATATATATGTATGTATGTATGTACTTGTAGAAGTGTGCGTGTATGTGTATCTGCGTATGTATGTGTATACGTATATGTACATGTACGTGTATATGCAAATGCAGGCCATACATACATATATATATATATATATATATATATATATATATATACATATGCTTATATTTATGTGTAATTATATATATATATATATATACACATATATATATATATATATATATATATATATATAGCGCATATGCATGCATGTAGGTTGTCGATAGTACTAGAGCCAGGCGTCGTCACAAATCGCTGTGACGAGCTCTACTCCAGAAACCAGGGCGGTCGGGAGCTGAGGACTGCGGCTTCATGGCTTTCCGGTTTTGATTTTGGGGTTTAGGATTTAGGGTTTAGGGTTTAGGGTTTAGGATTTAGGGTTTAGGGTTTAGGGTGTAGGGTGTAGGGTTTAGGGTTTAGGGTTTAGGATTTAGGATTTTAGGGCGGTTGAGGCCTTTGGCCTTTTCGGGTGGGTTTACGGCAATGGGTTTGGGTCGGGCTTGGGGTTGCAAGTTTGGTGTTTCTGCGTCTACCTTCAGCTGTTGGGGCCTCCGATGAAGACCTGAAGAGAGCCCCTGGAAGAACCCGTGGCGGATCCTTCCAATGTAAGTTGAAAACCTGGAAAAGATTGCATTGTTGTTCCTTTCAGGGCTCCTTGTTGTAAGCATGAGGGCTTGATGACGTGTTGAGAGTTTGGCTTTGCGACGGTTGAGGTTTCGGCTTTAGGGGCACGTGCTGACGAAGTTACACTGCTACTGGTACTTTACTATGCCCAAAACATGAGCCGAAAGACTTGCTGGGTCGCTTGGAACCGTAGGGAAGGTTTCGGGCTTTTGGTGTTCAGGCCCCGTGCGTGAAACCTGAAATCCGAAACCGACCCTACCTCGAAAGAACCTATAAAGTGCCTTATGAAGCACTTAAGCCCGAATTCCGTAAGGACAAAGTACAACAGCATCAGCTTGAAACCCTACAAAAACACCAAAGCAACCGTGAGGGAAGCCCTGCAAAGGTTTCGAATCCAGGGTTTATTGGGTGTTTGGAAACCCTAACCCCTAAACCACTAAGCCCTAAACTCTACAACGCCTACACCCGTAAACCCTAAACCCCTGATCCCCCGAACCGCCAAACCCTAACCTCTACAGCCTGCTAAGATCGCGATGGGCCGCATCAGCATGACCTATGGCGCCGGCTTCTTTGCCGGCACCCTGGCCTCATGACTGCAAAGGACCTGATATGATGTAATGTATATGCATATTCCTTACTTAAGGGATGTTAGAATCCCCTAAGACCTAAACCCTATAGATCCCTTTAAGGATCCCTTTAAAGGAACCCTAAGGGGTCCCTTACCGTCTGAAGGTGTCAGGCCTTGTAAGCTCTCAAACCGTGCACCGGTAAGGTTTTGTGGCTGATAGGTTGTAAGGCCGTAGGGTTTATATGGGAGTTTCCGAAAGCGGGGACCCTAATATGGTACCCAAAATAGTAGGAGTCTTATTATAACCACCCTGAAATAAGGTACCCCGGTACCCCTAATTTTCGGAAACTCCCATACAGGGCTTTAAGATTTTGGGGTTGCCTTAAGAGCTTGGATGATGTGAAGGATAATCTCAAGGGTTCCTTCAACTTAGCTAATGAGGGGGTAGCAAGACTCGTACAACCTTCATAGTACATGCCTGCGACGATCCTAGACACCCCTGAAACCCAAAACGCTTCTATAAGTCCTGAAGACAGAAGCCCGAGAGCTCAGAACCTGGACAGTCCAATAGCCCTCACTTCAGGAATTAAGTATACTTCAAGTATCTTAAGGTATGGGGAGAATCGTAACCTTTATGCTGTGAGGTATAATCCTTATAGACAAGTGGTATGTAAACCCTACAAAGCCCTTAAAAGCCCTAAAAAGCCTCGAGCCGTTTGTCAACCTTATATAAACCCGTTGATACACTCCACATAAACCCTATGAAGCCCCGTATATTCCCTAAGGGTCCATGTACCTAAATAGTATATACATTGGCCTCAAAGTAGTCCCTATATAGGTACATTGGGGCCAAAGTATATACTAGTTGGGCACATGGACCCTTAGGGTTATTGCCTCACAGGACCCGTTGGGCCCTCCGGGAAATTGTTCAGGTCACCTCCGCAGCAGCGCGACGGCTTTCCGCGCGGCAGATTGCCTGGGCCGCCGTCTTCCTCGAGGTGACGTCATGCTGGGGTTCTTTAAAGCGTTTAGGGATTCAGGGTGTCGGGTTTCTACCAAGATCCGCCCGGTAACCTGTGTTATAGAGCCATCAGACTGGTATTCGGGCATACTGGAGGGTAGTTGCAGGGTTTAGGAGCTACGGTTTAATGTGAACCCTAAACCCTAAACCCTAAACCCCTAAACCCCTAAACCCTAAACCCTAAACCCCTAAACCCTAAACCCCTAAACCCTATAACCCTAAGGTTTCGGGTCAGAGGTCTCGGATCCTAGGGATTCAGGGCTTTCTGGCTTCAGGGTTTTAGGATTTAGGATTCTAGGATTCTAGGGCTTGAGGATTGCAGGGCTTATAAGGTTAGGGTTCAGGGTTTTAGGGTTTAGGATTCTAGGATTCTAGGGCTTCAGGATTGCAGGGCTTACAAGGTTAGGGTTCAGGGTTTTAGGCTTTAGGATTCTAGGATTCTTGGGCTTGAGGATTGCAGGGTTTATAAGGTTAGGGTTTTGAGGGTTTTGGGGTGTTGTGGCATTCGGGTTTTAGGCTCTAGGGATTTAGCGTGAGTCTCATGGTTTAAGGTTTGCTTCCTGGCTGTATCCCAGGCTTCTAGGACTAACTTTTGACAGTTCTACCTCATGTACATGGGGCCTACCGACGAGTGGGCATCTTGTGACGGTGAGTTGGGAGTGATCGCCATTCCCCGAGTGCATCACGCTTCAGGCCAAACGAATAAAAGTACACTATGTAGACCCATTGTTTAAATTGTATTACAATACGTGGAGCTTAGATCATGACGAATACTAATTCGTGGGGATCCTTCGTACCATAATACTAGCCCTAAACCCTGAACCCCAAAACCCTAAGCCCCTAAACCCTAAACTGAATAGCTTAGGAGTTCCGATCCATCCAGTTTCCCCGGTTTCCCCTTACTATCGAGTCTTATCCCATATCCCATTGGGTACTTTGGAATAGGGATGTAGTAAGGTTTCGTGGAGGTGTTGTCGAGCTTGGTAGGCTCATCATAGTCCTGCTTACATCAGCCTTCTGCGTGCCTAGGATGTTGGGAGTTTGGGACGATTAGAGTTTAGAGTTTAGGGTGTAGTATTTCATGATGTCTTAGGCTTTGCTCGAAGCTCGTGCATAAACCCGAAACTTCCAGGAAGCTTCTGTACACCTTCTGGAGACCTTATAACTTATAATCACTTCATCAAAAGCCCCACTTGCGAAATTTGAATCCCATAAACCGCAAGCCTGAACGCTCAGACTAAGTCCCATAAACCGTAAGCCTATATATATATATATATATATATATATATATAAGTCTTAAAAGCTAACCCCCAGAAGCCGTAAGCCTAAGCCCTAGAACCAAACCCCCATGAACCGCACAAGCCCAAACCCTAAAACTAAACGCCATACGTAAACAAATCCTAACCCTATCCCTCCAAGGACCTCATAGTTAGGGCCCTAGACCCCTTAAGGACCCATAATAAGGTCCCTGAAACCATAGCGTAAAGCCCAAACACTCTGAACTTCAGCCGATCCACGAGGCTGGCGCGATTGCTGCAGTAGCTTTGCTCTACCCACCCGAAGAAGGACCTTCTCAAAAGATACAGAGATATAGCATTTGGGGTTTAGGGTTTATGATATATGTATCTGAAAAATTGGTACGAGTTTCCCTATGTGAAGGGTTTCTATGAAGGCTTTGCACAGGTTGTTTCGATACAAGGTGTTCCATCGTATTCCTGTGATACCCGAATAAAAGCAAGTGGGGCTTTCTCCGGGTGCTTCAGATGCCTTTAGTCTTCCCAAAACTAAAATGAAAGCCTGAATGCACACTCACCATGCCGAAACCTCGGGTCCCACCTCAACCCTGAACAACCTGCCTGTTTAATAAGAGCTTGGACAAAGCCGAACAATGTAGATTTGATAGGTCCCGGTACTTCGTATAGCCTTGTATCGGGGTTTCGGCCCACATTCTTGCGAACCTTATAGGCACCCGGCACCTGGAACGTTCAATAGAAAAACTATTCCATGTCATAGCGCCCCTTTCCTGTAGTATAAGCCTTAAACACTCCACGCACTATTCCGTTTCTTAGGGGCCCCCTGTTTTTCGCCCGAAGTCCCGGACGAGGACCTCCGCCCGATGCTGCAGGGAATTCTGAGGGCAGCGACTTTCGTCAACTCCTGCGCCGCCACTCCGATTTCGAAGGTTTAGGCCTATAGTAGTAGAGTAGGTAACCTTTAACCTTTTTGGGGGTAGTATAGTCCCTGCATAATCCCTATATACCCACAAAGGTTAACCTTTAGTTCCCCATGATACCCGACAAATAGGTAGAGCTTCGGGTGTAGGGCTTTTGGTTCGAAGCTTTGGGGTTTAGGGTTCCTTTAAGGGATCCAGGGTATACCTTAGGGCATCCGGGTTTAGGCTTTAGGCTTCAGGTTCAGCGCTTGCGCTTAGGGCTGCTAGGGTTTCGGTTAATCTGCAAATTGGCGATTAGGGTTTTTGGAGCCCTTGAGCCAGGCCAATAGTCTGTAGAATTTGGAAATGGTTGTGCTTCCGGACTACCCCAAGGATCCAAAAAACTACGTACTTGGATTTCGGCTAGGAGTTCTGTAGGCAAGATGATTTTCGGCACTTGGATCCTCAGAAATTAGGGAACATGTGCGAAGTCTGAACACCCTTAAGCCAAACCTCTCAAAATTAAGGACACCAGGAGTTCAGGCAGTCGTTTCTATATGGGATCCTCAGAAATTAGGGAACATGACACTAGGAGTTCAGGCACTCGTTTCTATATGGGAGTATCCGAAAATAGGGGACCCCAATATAGTACCCTAAATAGTAGGATCCTTCTTATAAGGACCCCTAAATAAGGTACCTCTAGGTTTCGGAAACTCACATATCTGGCGGTAGATATACTGCATTGCGGTGTTACACGTATGGCGACAGGGTGGATATTAAGAGCCCAAACCCTGAACCTTCTAGGCCCGATACCCTCAACAAACCCTCTATGCGAGTTTCCGAAAGTTAGGGGTACATTATTTTGGGGTCCTTATGTTAAGGATCCTACTATATAGGGTACTATATTAGGGTCCCTTATTTTCTGGAAACTCCCATATGAACATCTTCAGAAACCATAAAACAACCTACAGTAGAAGCCAGATCATTATCCTCATTCCCTTCAGGTGGAGTATAGGAAATCCCATCACGAATCGTCCTCAAACCATGTTCCAACTTTCTGGGGTTCACTATGAGTTGCGCTGAACCGAGGACCACAGGTGGTTCCTCTGCTCCTTTCTAGGATGGCGAACGCGACCTCAGGCATTGGTGGTAGTTCTTTAGAGGAGTTCTGTGGCGGGGCGTGAGGGGGGGCTGGGGTGCGGGCAAGACCTTGCCAGCCTGGGTATCCGTATAAAGCCAATCCAACAAAATACACGTTCTTTTGCTGTTTGCTTTTAGGGCTTAGGGTTTTGGCATCGTCTGTTCGAGGTCATGTTGGCACTTGGAGGGTCGGGATTAGGGTTTAGGGACCTTAACATGGACCCCACAAGTACCAGCATGCTTGTAAGTCAACCCCCTCCCCCCTACAAAGACCAAGGAACCCAACAATTTCCGAAATCGCCAAATCCTTCAACGGTATCGCCTAAACTCCAAATCCTCCTGTGTAGGCGGAATGCTGCTCTGCATGATCAACCAGTTTGCCATGGATCCGCCACTCGTCGGTTTATCGCTTAGGCTTTGGAGGTGGCTACCGGGTTCTCCTTTGGATGTTTTTTACTGTTGTGATGTTTGTTGTAAATGTTTGTTGTATTGTAGGCCACATAAAGCATTCAGCAAAAATACGACTCTCGCAAACGCACGCCGCCCTCACGTCCTACTCTGCAAAACTTCTACACCTGCCTCAGGTTCAGTTTCTCAGCCTCACAAACCAGCCTCCTCATGGCGTACGTCGGGAGCTCAGGGTTTCTTCACTACGTCCTTCTTTGTAGTAGTACGTAGTCACTTAGTAGTAGTAGTAGTAGTAGTAGTAGTAGTAGTAGTAGTAGTAGTAGTAGTAGTAGTAGTAGTAGTAGTAGTAGTAGTAGTATAGTAGTAGTAGTCGTAGTAGTAGTAGTAGTAGTAGTAGTAGTAGTAGTAGTAGTAGTAGTAGTAGTAGTAGTAGTAGTAGTAGTAGTAGTAGTAGTAGTAGTAGTAGTAGTAGTAGTAGTAGTAGTAGTAGTAGTAGTAGTAGTAGTAGTAGTAGTAGTAGTAGTAGTAGTAGTAGTAGTAGTAGTAGTAGTAGTAGTAGTAGTAGTAGTAGTAGTAGTAGTAGTAGTAGTAGTAGTAGTAGTAGTAGTAGTAGTAGTAGTAGTAGTAGTAGTAGTAGTAGTAGTAGTAGTAGTAGTAGTAGTAGTAGTAGTAGTAGTAGTAGTAGTAGTAGTAGTAGTAGTAGTAGTAGTAGTAGTAGTAGTAGTAGTAGTAGTAGTAGTAGTAGTAGTAGTAGTAGTAGTAGTAGTAGTAGTAGTAGTAGTAGTAGTAGTAGTAGCAGGAGTAGTAGTAGTAGTAGCAGCAGCAGCAGCAGGAGGAGTAGTCGTAGTAGTAGTAGTAGTAGTAGTAGCAGTAGTAGTAGTAGTAGTAGTAGTAGTAGTAGTAGTAGTGCGATTGACAAGAGTTTCATGCTCTATGTAGGAGTTTCCGAAAATTAGGGGTTCCTTTAAAGGGATCCTTTAAGGGTTCCTATAAGGGATCTGTAGGGTTTAGGGTTTAGGGAGTTTTGGCCAAAAAAATTGGGGTACCTTATTTTGGAGTCCTTAGAATAAGGGTCCTACTATTTACAGTACTATATGTGGGTCCCTCATTTTCGGAAGCTCCCATGTGGTTCCGTATGGAGTCTTTAAGGGTAACGAGAGGGTTTGGGGCTTTCGGCTGTCGCCCTGAACTTGCGTCCTTGGGGGGGTCCTCGTAAACAAAGACCATGGCAATGGCTTCTTGGATACGGGAAACATACTAACAGTAATAACCATGACCCTCCCCCGCCCCTAAGCAGTCAATTGTCAGATTGACTATGCCATTGCCGTCCTTGAAAGTCATGATTAAAATTTCAGAAAGGCACATGCATGAGAAGGAAGCCAAGGTATGAGACACATTGAGGGAGCTCCAAGAGCGAGCAAGCTCCTGGATGCCACGCTAAGCCTCTGGCCTCTAAGCCCAAAGCCCTGGAGCCTAAACACCCGTATCCTAACCCCCAAACATTATATTTAGGTCAATGGTCTCTTTACTTGGGGTTTCTGTTTTCAGGGGCTGTACCCAGCATCAGGAACAGATAAAGAGACACAATTATAAGCCCAAAGCCTTCACAGCCCCAAGACCTCATTTTCCCGAGCTCATCTCAAAACCCGAGCGGCTGAGGCTCCCAAAAACCCAAACTCTTAAATCCTATAACTGCGAGAACTCTACAACCCAAGATCTGAACATATTGGTCTGTTGAGCCCGTAAGTTGTGGGTTTACGGCTTTACCCTTGGCTTCTGTCTTTACTTCCAAAGGTCTCCGGCGTGCAGCTCATTTCCCAAGGCGGCCTGGTTCCGCTTTTGGCTCGCACCTTGAAAAAGTTTCAGGATGCAACTTGGTTTCGGGGTTTAGGGGTGTAGGGGTGTAAGGGTTAGGGCCGGCAATTTATCATAGTGAGCCCCAGAAAGTTGGAACATACCCAAGATATCCCTAGGGATCAAAATCGCCCAAAAGCCTTGTATAGTATGGTCTTTGGGCCCGAAAGCCTTAAAAAATGCGTCCTTAGATCTCTAGGGTATGAGTCTGGATGATTGAAATTTTACTTATAGCCGCATATACCTCTGCCTCTAACATGCAGTCTAAGTCTTCGTGCCCTACTATAGATTTGCGACTGTCGTGATGTAGGGTCGACATAAACCGTATAAACCGAAACTCTGAACCCTAAACCCTAAACCCAAACCCTAAACCCTAAACCCTAAACCCTAAACCCTAAACCCTAAACCCAAACCCTAAACCCTAAACCCAAACCCTAAGGCTTCTCACCAAAAGCTCTTCGTTTGGCCTCTTCGTCAGCGCTGGCGTCGCTTGGCATAGGGTTTTAGCAAGGGTCCCCTTTGAGGGTCTCCATTGAGGCCATTGGGTCCCCTACCATAACAGACACTAGTATCCCCAAGACCCTTATGTAATGATGAAATTCCCCTATCTTCAACCCCAGCCGCTCGCCCAAGCCCTTGCAATGATTATACATTCACTATCGTAAACAGCTGCCAGGTACGTCCTTTTGCTGCATGACACACCGATGAACGCCTTCAGAAACCGCCTGAAGTACGGTCAGATCCCTCCAAACGGGAGTTTCCGAAAATTAGGGGTACCTCATTTTGGGGTCCTTATAGTAAGGATCCAATTATTTAGGGTACTATATTAGGGCCCCCTATTTTCGGAAACTCCCAAGTCTCGAGGCTAAAGATCCAAAATGCCCAACAAAACACTGGAATCCAGAACAAAAACTTGCCGCCCCAAACCCTATAAGCCCTAACCCTAAGGCCCCAGGCCAGGTACCCTTATAGTATATTATAGGCTTTAAAGTACCTATATAGGGACCCCTTTAAGGCTTAAGTATCTACTAGAAGGAGCCTTTGGGTACTTGGAGGGTCGGGGGACTAGTAAGTAGGTAGTAAGTAGACTTATAAGTACCCTAAAAGAGACCCTAATTGGGGTTATATGGTACTTATAAGTCCCTAAAAAAAACTGGAACCCCTTATACTTACTAAGTCCCCCGACCCTCCAAGTAACCGCCTGCCCGCTTCCGTCGAGGCTGCCGTTGTTGGGCCTCGCGGCGTTTGGTTCTTCGGCACCTTTGGGGTTCAGAATCTGCTCCGGGTTTAGGGCTTTAATTAGGGCCTTGGGGTCTATAGGGTGTAGGGTTTAGGGTTAAGAGTATAGGGTTCAGAATCTGCTCCGGGTTTAGGGTTTTCCCTATGCCTCCAGGGACCTTATTATGGGGTCCTTAAGGGGTCTAGGGCCGTAACTATGAGGTCCTTGGAGGGATAGGGTTTTACTTAGGGCCTTCGGGTTTAGGGTGTAGGGTTTGGGGTTAAGAGTATAGGGTTAATGAGGCTTTGGGGTTTAGGGTGTGGGGTTTAGGGTTAAGAGTATAGGGATAATTAGGCTTTGGGGTTTAGGGTGTAGGGTGTGGAGTATAGGATGGTTTAGGGTAGTTTGGGGTTCCGGGATGTGGTACGGTAGTCAAGCACCGATCTCTGAACGGAAAGCCGTGTATAGGTGAATTAGTAAGATGGTGTAGAAGCACTCTAACCCAGACCCCCGAGAGGATCCAAAAATACCCTTAGTAGTGTAGGGCCCCAAATTAGGGGATCTACTTTCTAATACATCCTCCCGGGGGTCTGGGAACCTGCTAACAGAGTGTCACGAGCCTCCGAAGTAACTAGACGACGCCGGTTTAAGGCGATGGAGGGTTTAGTTTAACATTTGGGAGTTTCCGAAAATTGGGGGGTACCTTATTTTGGTGGTCCTTATAATAAGGATCCTACCATTTAGGGTGCTATGTCAGGGTTTCCGAAACTCCCATTTAAGATTTGGCATTTTCGGGTTTAGGGGATCAATCAGCCTTTGGGTGTCTCAATGACGCTATGTGGCCTTGTTCTTATTGTTGTTGTGACGTTATCCACCCGTGCTCGATACTGCTATGCCTACATACGAGAGATTTCGAATCGTGGGCCGGACCTCGGTTCTCTTTTTGGTACTGGTAAAGTGCAATTCGAAGGTTTATAGGGTTTAGAGTTTAGGGTTTAGGCATCTGCAGCGCGTCACAGACCCCAATTATCAAGGCTTCTGCGGAGTGGGAAGGTGTTCTTGGAGGCTGAGAGGAATCACGCAACAGAGCTCCAATGAAGATACAGTTGCTGTGTAAATATACATACCAATCCGGTTCCGTATTATACTTACATATTGAAATTTAGCCCAAAACGCCACCAATGCAACAGTCCAGCTAGCAAGGCTCATTAATGGTAGGGTCCCTGTTTAGGCCCTCAGATCAGTACGGTGCCCTTCTTAAATTAAAAGAATCCTAGAAAGGACTCCTAATCTTTAGAACTAGCCGTATTGCTTCCGTGAGTCGAACCTACTGACTAAGTCGCCCTGCATCGCTTCCGTGAGTCGAAGCTGCTTACTAAGTCGCCGGGTGTAAGCCGTCTTCGATTCTCGAAATCTGCTGGCGCTTGCACGGGGGTGTTTGTAATTGTAGGGCTCATGGTTTAGATTTCTTGGGCCCCCACAAGAAGCCGAAAGAACACTCGGCCCTCTAAACTTCTCCGAAAGGCGGCCTAGACAAGCGCATAAGCAGGATAGCACTGACACCTGCCTTCTCATGGTGCTGTTCTTGCAGGCTTGATGCTTAGGTGAGACCCTATACCCTAAAACCCCCTAAACCTTAAACCGCATATCTAAGCCTTTAAAAACCCTGAACCTTAAACCGTATATCTAAGCCCCTATAAACCCTCAACCTTAAACCGCATATCTAAGCCCCTATAAACCCTCAACCTTAAACCGTATATCTGAGCCTAAGCCCCTAAAAACCCTCAACCTTAAACCGTATATCTAAGCCCCTATAAAGCCTAAACCCCTTTTTCGGAACCAAGGCAATTCTCCCGCAGCATACGTCTTTTGGCTCGGCCCGCTCACTTCAGCGGCGCCTGGGCTTCAAGTGTCGCGAATGCCTTCCAAACTCCTAGATACACAAAATCCTAAACCCTAAAGCTCAAGGTGGTACGTAGGGTCTTAAACCGTTCTGACAGGTTCTATTAGGGGATTTGTTACGGACCTTCTCAGAATCACCGCAATTAGGTGTTGCCGTCAGTTAACGTAGAGTTCAAGATTGCAGGTTGTAGGTGACGGTAACCTGTTAAACTTCCATTGCATCGTTCCCTCGCCAGTCTTGAACCTGTATTAACTGTGGATGGCAGGAGAAAGGGCATCATTACTAGCGCCATTTTGGGGTTCCATCTTCGATTTTTAATGTAATAGGCCCCGACCCTAATTATTCTCATTATGGCCCCTATACTATAGTACCCTTATGGAGCCCTCATATGACCCGTTAAGGAACCAAGGAACCTTATTCTAATTATTAATGCCCCTATATATAGAACCCTTCTTGTAGCCCATTGTCGATTGGTTGCTGGGGAGCTTGGCTGCCTGAAGCTTCAGGCATTCGGCCTTAGTGGCTTGCAGACTTAGCAGCTTAATGTAGGAACCTTCCTAGTCAGAATGGGGTTTTGAGGGCTCCTTACTATAGTTATTCTACCATGTACCCCAAAACCCTGTTCTAGTTATCAAGGCCCTCACATGTAGGAACCTGACTAAGAAACCTAGGGCCTAGGGTGGTTCTTAATATGGGTCTCCAACCCTTCATGTAGGATGTAGGGCGGTTTAGGGTATAGCCTTAGGGTGCTTAAGGGTTTAGGGTTTCAGCTTTTATTAGGCTCAGTTTAGAGTCTAGGGATTACGGCTTTGGGAGCTGTGCCTTCTGGGCGGCGGGTTCGGGGTGGATGACAGTTTCGTTTGTGGCGATGAGGGTTCAAAGTTCGTGGGCTTTTGCGCGTTGGTTTTGACAGTAATTGACTCGAGCAGTTGCCGTAGAAGGTCTGGGTTTTGGGTTTAGTCAAAGGGGAAAAGGAGGGACCCTCATTGGGGACCCCTACCCTATAATGGGCTATATAATGGGTATATAATAGCTTCATTATGGGTATCTACCTAGGGGTCCTTATTAAGGGTCCCTCCTTCTACCCTTGGATTTAGGGTTTAGGCTGTGTTTGGGGTTGTTGCTCCTTTGTGTTGAGATGCTCGATCAACCCTAGACCCTCAGCCTTATGAGCCAATCCCTGCAGGGCTTTGGTTTCAGTGTATATTCATTAGAAAACAAATGCTCATGAGTAGTGACATAATTATAAAAGATATATAAATAGATGAGTACATGAGTATATAGCTGTATAAATGTTAAAGATATACATATATATATATACATGTATAAACATGCAAATATATAGCTATATAGAAAACTGTGGAGCCTACACTGAAGCCCGCCACTTGAGCTTACAATTAAAACTATGTCCCTGATGTCCTATGTAAAGCTCGTTTGATTATCGATCCGTTGTTTGAAGTCCTTACAGGACTATGTAGCTGTTGGGCGTGCATCTCTGTTCCAACAGAGTTGCTTCAGGGTGGCTAAGTGCTTTTGAATTTACATGTTCTCTACCATGCGTACCTATACATTTATGTGAGCGTGGGGCTTATTGCCATGTTTTGGCCGTAGGATTTAGTGACAGGGTGTAGCCAGGTTCACAGACAAGCTGAGTTGGCCATTCACCGTCCTGCGGTTGGTGAATCGGCGGGAAGGATATGCCACGCGCAGGGCAAATACGAATTCCTGGTGCTGAACACGGGACTGCAATCACCTCTCCGAGAAGCAATGTCCGTGCATTCCTTTGCCCTCTGTGCACTTGCACTTAGCAGCCCGGCCCGGCCTAACATATAACATTTTCGATCCTGGGCCTATGTTCAGCCCAAATGTTGAAGGCGAATTGTCTTTTCTGGCGCTTGACCTCTGGAGGCACAGCTGTTCCGTGTAGTTATGTGCTCATCGCTGGTCCTGCCACTGGTTTGACCAGCAAATGTAGGTTAAAGTGAATCGGAAAGAGTTTGTGATTAGTGGTTTTGATCCTCGACGTTGCCATAGAATCTAGTTAATCTAGTTGCAACCCTGGCAAGTGTTGTTGTGGCGGATCTTGCTGCCTGTGGTTTCGACTGCGGCTACATCACAGACATGGGTAGGTTGAGGCCGGCGACGATTGCAAGCGCTGCCATTTTTGCAATTGGGACTTCTCCAATACAGCAGTCACGCAGATAAGGGCGCTTGAACAGCCTCAAACCCAAACCCATCCATACAGCACGACCCGGACCTGCCGAGACCCACATGGAACTCACCATCGTTGGCTCGGGAGGGTGGCCTCGGGAATTTCGCCCAGGTACACTTGGACTTGGAACGAATATCATCTTGTGAACCTTGAACCTTAAATACCTCCTTCCACGTGCAAGGTTGGGGCTTCGAGCAGACACCCGCCGGGATGAGACGTGCATAGCGCCCAAAAACCTTCACGCAGTCAGCTCGTAAGATTGCTCGTGACCACTGCACATCCCACCTTTTATGCAGCCTAAAGTCGCCTAAGCTCACTCAAAGGACATTTAAACCTGCTATGCGTGGCTGTAACATTGGGGTCTCAGAAAGAGTTCTCGTAGATGATTTTTCCCGTGATTTTGTTCCCAATGTATGGCAAGAGTGTTTCCTGCATCACACAAACCTTCCAACCAGGTGGCCTCAGCGCGGGGACTAGAGTATCCAGGATGGAACGCTTTCCTTGGATACATCAGTCACGAAAATGTGTCACGAAATTTACGGTATTTCGTCTTATTAAGCATCGCGCATTAGTTACTAACCGTTAGTTGGTCTAGGCCTGCCCAGAGAGCCCAATACGCCTTAATTAGGGAATATGGCTTCAATTATATAGGGCTTCATATTATGATTTAAGCAATATTCCTTAATTAAGTGGTATTGGGCTCTCTGGGTGAGCTCCGTGAGCACTTCAGGTGCACGGCGGAGGCACGGCCATGGGCAGCAGCTTGGTGTGAGAAAGAGCCAGAGCGAGCAGTCGAGGGTTTGGGGGCTTACTTGGAGGGTCGGGGAATTAGTAAGTGGGAGTTTCCGAAAATAGGGGACCTTAATATTAGGACCCTAAATAGTAGGATCCTTACTATAAGGACCCCAAATGAGGTACCCCTAATTTTCGGAAACTCCCAAGTAGGTAGTAAGGGGACCCTAGTTGGGGTTATGGTACTTACAAGTCCCTAAGTCCCTCGACCCTCCCGGAGTTGGTGCTGTTGGGCATTGTTGGGCTCGGAGGTTCACGAGTGAAAGGGTTTGCGGAGGATTATAGGGTATCAATACCAGAAGCATGCGAGCATGTGTATGTATATATATAGATTGCTTTTATTTATGTTTTATGCATTGGCCATGGCAATACATTTATGACACGCACGTATGCAATGCAACGCACCGCATTGGAATGCTATGTAAGGGTATGCAATGTTTCGTAATGCCATGTAGCATGTTGTGTAATGTCATAAACTTAGTACGATGCAATAATGAAATGTTTCACAGTGTTTGGAGTTTGGAGATGTTATGTAGTGTCATTTGTCCTGTATCAACAAGTAATGCTATGCAGTGTTGTGCAATGTTCTGCTTCCAGGTGTAATTTGAATTAACGCAACATAACTTAATGTTGTGCTATGCGTGTGCAATGTTAAGAAAACTATGTCATGTAAAGTCGTGTAGGTAATGTAATGTAACATATAACTGAGTTTAATGTCAGACACATGTATATGTACATATATATATATATATATTATGTGTATATGTGTGGTTGTATGCAGTTTAAAGTAATGTAATGCCTTGCAATGAAATCTAATGCCATGCAAGGTGAGGAGATGTAATGCAACGCAAAATCTTACAATCTAATTAATACAATATAGCGCAATCTAATGTGATGCAATGTAATGCAATGTAATGCAATTCAATTCGATGTACTGCAATGTGTGCAAAGTAATGCAATGTCATGCAATGTAATGCAATGTAGTGCAACGTAGTGCAATGTAATGTGGTGTACAACGCAATGCAATCCAGCGTCCTGCATTGCAGCGCAGTGAATGTAATGCTAGTTGTTGTTATTTAGCTTATTGCTATGTTATGTAATGCAATATTTCGTAGTACTACGTAAGATTTTGCAAGGTTGTGTAGGGTTACGTATGTAATGTTATGTAATTTTATGCAGTGCTGTGTAATGTTGTGCACTGCTATATGGTGTTGCTTACTATCCTGTAGCTTTATGCAATGTCATGTAATGTTGTGCAATGTTATGAAAAAGTTATGTAATGTTATGCTCGCCATGCGTTTCAATGTTACATAATGCTGTTAGTTACGTAATGTTAAACAGTGAGTGTGTTACAGTGTGTATGCATGTATGTATGTATGTATGTTTTATATATGTATGTATGAAGGTAGGTATGTAGGAAATATAGGGACTTGAAGAGTTAGCAAAACCATTTTGAGGGGTTCCTTAATAGACATAGCGTACAAAGGGGCGCCCCAAACCCTATTTTAATTATTAAGGCCCCTACACTAAACCCTTATCATAGCCCTTTTAGGCCCCGTTACAGGAACCCTATTCTCATTATCAGGCCCTCATATTATTGAGCCTTACTATAGATCCCTTTTAAGGATCCCTTTAAAGGAACCCTGTGCCTGTGTGGGCTCCACGGCAACTGCGCTTTGCGAAGCACCTCTTTGCAACTTCTGAAAGACCCTAAGGATCTAAGGACTCATATATTATTACATACCATATTAAGGGGACTTATAACCCTACTCATAACTACCCCTGAACCTCCAAGAAGGGATCTACGGACTCATACATTAAGGCTTTTGGGCCCAAAGACCATACTATATAAGGCTTTTGGGCTATTGTCATCCCGAGGGAGAAAGGATGTGCTTGTGTACGCGTAGATGTATACATGCACATGTACAAAGATATACCCGTTGCTTTAATTCGGCTATGTTGATTTTAGTTCCAAGTTAGTATCAGGTTCATCTTATGCATAGAGCTGCACGACCTCTGAGGGTGTACGGTTATCCAGGATCTACGTGGTGTGATCTACGTTGGTAGCTTGTGCGGGTGTTTAAGCTCACGCAGTCAGATCGAAAGTTGGCTTTCCAACACCAATTTCATGAAGGTGGTGGCATTGATTTCGCATGTCCCACTATCATTCGTGTCAGTCCACTGACTTACCCTAGGGGCCCACATATACTACCATTATGGAATTAGGTCCCGAAAGACCATCCTTATTGTGGCATTGGAGACCTAATTCCATAATGGTAGTATATGTGGACCCTGTGGGTTAATGAGCTAGAGCATTGCGCTTGCCGTCATAAATACCGTTTTGAGGCTTTTGGATTTTTGGGACGGCAAATCAACATGTATTGGACGTGCAACGTGCGGTCAAACTGTATAGAGGGATGCCTTGAGAGATAGGCAGACATGTAAGTTGGTGTTCCAAATATTCGGAGCTAAGCCCTACGCCCGCAGATGCTAACTTCCAAGCATCAGCATGCACCAAGGTATGCTTTCCTGCCTCGCACCTGACAGTGAGTCAGGCGCTGGGCTCGTTGCACACCTGTCAATTACCAACACCTCGATCCCTTCAGCTGCTAAGCCCACGACCCCAAGCATGAATGCAGATTGCTCATGTCGGAATGGGAAACGGCACTACCTCACCAATCTCGATTCCATTCCTTCGCAAATCTGTTGACCAATGTGCGAGCCTCAGAACTTGGTGCCTCTTCCTGCAACAGCTCTTGAACACAAAAAGACACAGACTGCAAGTGTCACACCGAATGCTATGTCCCGGATCTTGTTGAAGGAGGTTCCCGTATAGTCAACCGGGAAATTATACCGACACAATGCATGTCCGAGAGCATTTGGCGCGCTGAAACAGTTCTGAGTCCTAAGGCTCTTCAATACCCTAAACCCAAACCCCTAAACCCCCAAACCCTAAACCCCTAAACCCTAAACCCCTAAACCCGATTCAAGAAACCTGCAACGGGAACCCCAAACCCCGAAAACTGAAGAAGCCCAATTAGAGCCCGTATCCCGAAACTCATAACTTTAATTAATACCGAAAGAAGTCACCTGGAAAAAGTAGGGTTTAGGGGTTTAGGGTTTAGGGTTTAGGGTTTAGGGTTTAGGGTTTAGGCCCTATGCCCAAATCAACTCGCCAAACATCAAGGTGAATGAGGTTCATCGTACAGGGGTTAGGCCTCATTCTAGGGCCTCTCTTTTCTTTATGTTGTGTCCTGGTTGCTCTAGAACACCAAACCCTGAGCGCAAGACCCTAAGCCCTGAACCTTAATGCCTAAACCTTATAAGCCCTGCATGCTCCACCCCCCCGGCCACAACAGTTGTCCGTCCTTCTTGGAATCTTCGACACCGAGGCTCCGACGCCCCAAGCCCTTAGCTCATTAAGGCTTGTGGGTTTATGATTTTCGGTTTAGGGGTTTCGGGTTTTGGGTTTGGAGACCTGGCACGCCGCACAGGCGCTATGGTGGCATTGAGCATGGCACCGCTGCCCCTTGCCACTCAAGTCAGACTGCCCGGGTGTTATGTCGGGGCTTCTACGTTTAAGTTTATAATTGGTTGTCATCCCAAAGGTTGCATGTAATGTAGTCACTATTATAGGACTTTGGGTCTTGTTTGGGTACCAAAAGCCAAGGTGTTGGATTATATTCCATGTCGCTGCACTCGGGACCATATGCCCCACACCCCAAGCCCTAACTGCAAACGCTAAAACCTGATGTTTAACCCCTAAACCCTAATGCCTTGAAGGACCCGTTTAAAGGAACCCTTAACCCTAACCCTAAACCCTTAGACGAAGAATGCTAAACCTTAAACCCTACACCCCTAAACGAAGAATCCTAAACCTTGAGAACCCAAACCTCCAAGCCCTTGGACCTTGAATCCTAAAC